GGAAGGTTGGACTAGATGATCTGTAGAGGTCCCTTCCAACCTTAAATATTCTGTGATTCTGTGATCACATTTAACCTCCTGGGGTTGGAAAGAACAGACAGGCTCTGGAGTTTTGCTGAACCCCTACATGCACCCTCAGAASATGGTACCTGAGTTACAAAAGGCTAAAATAGCAGCATCAAGGTACCAATGAACACTTTACATTGGAGATGCTTTGAGGCAACTGCTACAGCTTAACAGCAATTTGGATTCATATTCCAGATAGCAAATGCTTTGCTTCAATTGCTGCGGGTACTAATTTATGAGGAGCTATTTACTGAAGACAGAATACGTATTAGCATTTCAAAAAAGAAACCTGCCATCCTAGAGTATATTAAAAGGCAAAAAATGCATTCCAGTTTTATGCATATTTTCACCCCAAAACTATGAAAAATCCCAGTAAAGTCCATCTCCTAGATCACAGGAAAAACATGACATTATTAGCAAACCCAGGATTGAACAGATCCCTACAACTGGATTATGACATCGTTTTTATTTCTGCTCTTTATTTCTCCTCTATCCATTCACAGAAAAAAAGAAAGTGATCTGACTCAGTTTGCCCAAATCCTACTGTGTACTTACCGGAGTCAGAGGAGAGGTAGGAAAACTGAAGGGAGAAAGTGTACATGGATATACTGGTGAAGGAGCAATAGGAACTTTAGGCATTGGCTAGGAAGACACGTTTAGAAAGGCCTCTCACAGGGGCAAACGCCCAGGAACAAACCCAGCACGTTTGGGGGCAGCGCTGGCATTGCTAGTTCTGGCCAYGATACTAGCTAGCACCAGCTACCACGCTCCAGCCAACTGCCAGTTCTTCCCCACAGAGCAGCAAACGCAGCTCATGACAAGAAATACAAGTCCCTGTGGCTTCTTATGCGAGTCATTTGCCCCTCTATCTGCAGGGGGCATCTCTGGAAGCCTGCACAGGGTTTCTGTGCTGGTTGCAGCCTGCCAGGGGCAGCAACGGGTGCTTCCCTCTTCTCTGCTACGCCTGCCGGACAAGGCGCTGCCAGGCTACAAACACTGGTTGGCAACTGGCAGGAACTGCTGCCGGASAAGGTCCACGTGGGTGAAAGGAAGAGCCTTTCCCCAGGAGGGGTGAAGCTCTGGAAGGGCTTGCCCGGGGCACCCCCACTCTCCAGCCTTGGAAGATGCCCCAGGCCAAGTGCAGGAGGCCCCAAAATCACAGCGTCATCCGGCAGCCGAGCCCAGCGTGAGCAGCAGGGACCTTCCGAAACCCCTTCCSGCCCCATCTTCCAATGCGCAGTTCAGAGATACCACAGCCTCTTCACTTTGAGCARAACGGAATTACCTTTCATCTGAACCAACCTCAATAATTAACATTTCAATCAATTTACGTTAAGAAGTAGGGTTTGAAGAGGTACTGCCCATCTACACACAACCATTCATCTGAACTCATGTTCAGGCTAAAACTGTAAAGGAATTGTCAGGAATCAGCAAGAACAGACATAGACTGAAGCAACAGCTTGGAGGAAGACAGTTGTGGAATTCATTCAATCTATACCACCAAYGGAGTCAACACTCCAGAACCCAAGAAAATCGCCTACCAGCATGGAGAAAATTCACTACTTGCACCTACAAGTCTTAGTTAGGCAAGGGGACTGAAGCCCTAAAAGGGAGCAGTGCTCTAAGGCCATTACCTCGACCTTCTTCACATCCACCTCTGGGCATGGATAGAGATTTTCAGTCTGACGTTGTAAACTAGGGTCTCTTTTAGCTTTATCACACAGCAAGTTTCATAAGACTAAAGGCAGGAAAATAGCCACTCTCCTACACTTTGCTGAGCRAACATACTTCCTCTTCGATATAAATAACCACCAAAGCATCCACATGTGGATGACTGACCTGCTTTTGTGTTCCTACCTTTTAGTATATTTGTTTTACACTGTATTAAAATTTAAACAACTACTTTGAAAYTTATAAGGAATCAAATTATTGAAAAACAAACCATGGAGAAAAATGTTATTTCTTAACAGAGAAAACTAAATTTAAGTTTAGCTACTAGGAAATACAAGTGTAAACAATGCAATTCACAGCAATCTTTAATGTTAAAATGAAAAAAATCTGAACTGTTGCAGCATTAGAAACACTGAGAGAAATCAAACTCTAAGAAAAAAGCGGCACAGACAAAGCTTTTAGATTTATTTCTGGAAACAGTAACTCCAGAAAAAAATTCTTTAGAAGCAAAAGTAAAACCCCACATTCATAAGCACTGATTTGTAAAACCTGATTGTGACAGAGACTGAAAAAGTAACAATATTTTACTGCCCTTAGTAAATTCGAAAAAAGACCAGATATGCTCTCTCTTTACTAAAGAGCTCTTTACTAAACTCTTTACCTGCTTGTTATAATTGAACCATCTCATACCAGAACTGCTTAACAACCGATTTGGCATAGGTTTAAGACAGAGAACCAAAGTAAAATATCTTATTCCTCRCTACTAAAAAAGAATTAACTGGACAGAAAAAAAAGTAGACAGACAACAAAGAAATATTTATAAACAAGATGACTTTAATGTACAGTACCTGACAGCCTGTGAGAGCAAGAAGTGTAAGAGATACCAGGTAAGAGAGAGCTCACAGTGTGAAGCAGAAGGGGGACACTTTTAGTGGCTGGTAAAGCCTCATAGAGATGAGCACAGTTGCTGATAGACTGGCTTCGCTTCGCTTCCAGGAGAGAAAATAAAGCAATAGTTACATCAAAGTAGTAGTGAAATACATGAAGAAAAAAATTATTTGAATGCTATATCATGAAACACAACGCTTTTTGAAAAGCAAAATCTTACATCGTTAAATACAGAAATACTTCCTATAAAGTTTAATAATGTAAAACCATATCCCACACCGAGTCCTACAATCATGACCAATTTCTGAAATACAAGAATTCCACAACACGGAGAAATTTTATTTTGGCAGATGATTGCTGCCTCCTGGGTAGCTTGACTTACCTGCTTCTGTTTGTACTGTATTTGAAAATAACCGAAGAAGTAGTTATAGCAGCACATGTGTTAAACTGAAGAACTGAAAAGTTCTTATTCTACGTCCTTTCTGCTGTAATGCCTAGAATTTGTTTCGTGTCTTCCCTTTGGAAGTTCGGTATTTTAAGATACTCCAGAACTACATCTTCTGCCAAGAGAGGCTCATGACAAACTCACACGCCACAGAATGCATGATGAGCAGCTACACTAATGAGCAAGCTCTGTGCACGGGCTACACAGGTTCATGTATCAGAGATTCAAGCATCACTTCTCCTTTGGCCGTGAAACCGTTTGGGAAAGCTACAACTGTGGAAGATGTTGCTAACCAATTTAGCAGGTAAAAAAGAACATTCCCTTCCCACAGCAATTCAGCATCTCTCACTATACTTCATACACMGAAATGTAGATGATGGTAGATACAGAACGGATCTCCCCATGAAATATCTAAATGACATTTCAGGACGCTCACATCTGAATATATAAAGCCACAGCCTGTTGCTTTACCAGTTTCCTCAGTAAAAGCATAAGCTTTTAACCCCAGAAAATGTATTATCTGTCATACACACATAGGTACCAGTCTTATTATGTCAAGAGACACAGAAAACCTGATGTTTTCTGCCCTTGATTTCATGGATCGATCAAGTACTGAGGGAATCAGCCTMACTTTTGAAAAAGGAGGTGAAAGAGAGACCATGTTTGTTAAACGGGTTATATCCTAAGGGTATCAAAAGCCAAAGGCTCCATAAGTTGAGTATAAGCCTAAMTCCAGTAACTCAATAAGGACTCTTGTTTGAGGGCAACCAGAAGACTTAATGTATGATGTAACATGCTGTCTTTCTCATGAGATATTGGAGGAAAATGTTTTCTTGGACTGAAGACAGCTGAGATCCTTCAAAGCTGACCCTGTTTATGGCCGCTGACACTTCCTTTAAATTGGCACTGGTGCCAGGGTAAGGCCCAACAGCCCAGGGCTGTACTGGCAGCAGGGTGGTCTGCGTTGAGTTTACAGCTGCTGAGGATGCTAAAAAGCTCAGATAACTAAAGATRACTAGACTTTTAGACTAAAGACAAAGTGAAGGCAGCATCAGTACCTGCTTCGTGGGCGCCTGCTCCTTCACACTGCACCCACATGCTCCCTAGTCTTCCATTTGTAGAAGTCCTTGTTGGCCCTGACAACCCTTGCCAGATTTAATACCAACGGTGCCTCAGCCTTCCTGGACACAGCTCTGCATCCTCTGCCACATTCCCGTACTCCTCCCAAGCAGCCTGCTCCTTTCTTCACATCCTGCATTTTGCCAGGAGCTCCTTGCTGATGCACACAGGTCTCCTGTCCCCTTTGCCTGACTTCTTACCCAGAGGAAGTAACAGCTTCAGTACTAACCAGCTCTCTTGTGCCCTTCTTTATTCTAGGATCCTAGAGCTTATTCATTCCTTGAGTTAACGGGATTCCAGGGCATTTCTGTGGGAGGAAAAGTAGGGAGAAGCTCTCTCTGAACACACCAAGTGAAAGTCTCTTGTACCAGAATTTCTCTTATTATCAGGTCTTGTTCAGAATGGCTGCTTGAGACAGGGGGACTGGAGAAAGAGAYGGGGCATACAAATTTACTGAGACAGAAAAAGCAAAATCTAAAAACCCACTACAGTCACTCGTCTTTGCTAGGGACATCTCAGCTCCAAGACTGAGGGAAACCCTGAGTAACCTGGTCTAACCTCAGAGCTGACCCTGCTTTCAGTACAGTTGTCAACATGCTCCTGAGATCTCACACAACCAGATTATCAGACAGGCTCCTGCTTTTAATGTCCCATGTATTCCTTTCCAGATGATGAAAGGGATGGAGGTATCACTGAGAAGATGGCAGCTCTCAAGTCACCACGGAAGTGATACAGTTTGAATGCAAAACGTTAGCCATTTTTCTCTTTGAAAAACACCMAATCTGTTAGGTGGAAAGCAGTCTTAGCAAATGCCATGGCACACAAGGTGCGGTGCTTGCCTGAAGAGTTGACTACTTTGCCACGTAATCAACCATCACTAGTTGGGTGCTATGGGGTAGAACTGGAAGCCAGGGGGTCGCTACCCTCTCCAATTTGCATCTTCCAAGCAGTTCTCAAGAGTCAYGCTAGGGAACAGAGACCAAGAATGGCAAAGCTTCCAACTCCCCTCATAGGCTGGATCCCACCACTTACTTTCAACTAYGGCAACTAAGTTTCCATTCCATCTTTGGATGGAATTATTACAGTTCTCTTTGAGATCCTGTAGAACCATTCACCTCTGGTCTTTCTGCTATTGTGCTTTCCCCTCTTAAAAGCTTCCYTTAGATTATCTCGAATACTCATTGTTTTTTCCTCATTCATCCCAAATTACATCCTCAAAGGTTTGCAACTGTCCTTCTCCTAAAACCTGAATCTTYCTCTGTAGAACTTCATTATCATATAAGTTATAAATATGATGTCTGTATGAAACCTACTGGGCAAGATAAATGTTAAATGAAGGAAGGGAATGATATTTGAAGAACCGCTTATATTCAAAGAGCAACACTATTTCTTAGCTCCCGTATCTTTAATCACAGAAAAAGATCTTTCACAGTTACGGGTGATATTCTATTTATCATTTGAAAAACTGATCATCTAAAGAACATTCAGTAGTCCAAATAGCATATTTGATATAGTACATGTGTGACTGTTTGTGTATATCATTTATATACTTCTTGTGAAAGTTAAAATGGAGGGCTTAAAATATGAACTGCCTGTAACTGGTGTTTCCAGTATTCATGCGAGAAGATCATTTAAAAATTGACTTTCCTCCACCGTATTTTACCTCACAACTGAACCATGCAGTCATAATATGGTTATATTAGCTTACAAGAAAATACAAGTACAAATAATTTGGAGATGCAGGAAGAGACCACTCCTATGCACAAAACTGCATCTTCATCATTTGCCATTGCAACAAACGGCTCCGATTTACTCCTCTGCACACACAAAGCTTCAGGGACAAATTCATAGCCAAGGATTCAAAAGGAAACAAAATAGGGAACTCTTTCCACTAGAAACAGCAAGGGGGTAGAGAAAGGAGCAAGTTCTTGTGTTAGACTTATTTCTTTTCCCTTGCTAATAACAACACTCAAAATAATGCTGACCCTTTGCACTTCTGTACAACGAGAAACAGAAATATCTGTATATATACACACACCACACTTAAGATAGCAAAATGTTATATTTTGTATCCATTGTTCTTCTGTTGTCAGCTTCTCTCATCATGTACAAGAGAAAGGTAAAAGCTCTCCTGCAGAACCTGCAGGTAGCCCTTCTACCAAGTGCTACCTCGGGCCTCTAGAAAAACATCTTCCCAAGTGACTCCCACTCTGGACACTGGTTGGCATCATTAAAATTGAAAAGCTTGGTATCTCATCGCTTAAAATTTAAAGTCTCCTTTAGAAAAAAAAACATTAGTTTCCCATCAACTATACTACCGAAAGTCATGTTGAGCTAAGAGAAGCCTCCAACAGAAAGTCGTTGGGCAAGAAACACCTGATTTGCTGTACAGCCTCTGTTCTTATTCACCACAGCATCAACACTGACATGGGGAGAATCAGGGGTGGAAGGAAGCAAGAGTTATTCAGATAGGGGTTAGGCAAATGAATTTCCACTGCTGAACAAAACATTAAATTCAAGTAATTTGAGGAGAAACATCAAATTAATATTGAATGAAAGACTGCCTCTGTAAGGAAAGTTATCTTAAAAGYATTTCCAACTTTATGTCCTACATCTTCATGTAAAGCCCAACGTATCTTTTCTTATAGGCTCAACCTACAGTTTTTAGCAGCTGATGCTTTGGGAGCATCATGATGCCTGAGCGACACTTAGGAGTGCTTTTGTATTTGCTCTATTTCCTTGCACTCATATGACATGCACAGTTATAAAACACCAAATGGAAAGCTGCAAGATCTTACATGTTCATAATGTTGCATGTCAGCTTTCAGTGCACCTGAGTACACATCAAAAGAAAGCAGCAGGCACCCATTTGTATGCTGCTCCCCTCCTTTTATTTAGTTAATATTTTAATAATTTAATTAAATTGAGGGAAAAGGTCTTGGGGGCAAAATGCTTCCAGTAGGGGAGGTATTTTTCCAAAACTTCCGTTCTGCAAAGCAAAGGTTCTTCCATGAATAGCCCTCATGTTGGTTTTCACTTCAAGGTCTACTGTGTTTAGTTCTATCAAGTGACATCTCTGGACTCTAAGCTATTAAGCTATTCCTAGAAAGAAAAATATATGTTATATACAGCTGAATTATTTGCGATGTCTGCATAGGTAAATAGTATTTTTCTACCTATTCATTTTGGAGCCACTGACAGGCAAAAATCACACATGAAGGCCAGAACACTTCTATTCCCTTATGATCTTGAGRCAGGAAATGAAATCAGCGGCTTTTTACACACAAAGTTCATTCTTCTAGCTGAAGACCTAGAGGGCTCCCTACTACATAAACTTCTTCCACCGAAAAGACAGACATGGCTTTAATCTGAATGTGCATTAGCAAGAAAAGTCCTTGTTGATCAGTATTTCCAAGTTCTTTTTACTGCTCTGGTGACAGATCTGCAAGAGAAATGCTGCAGCAGAAGGAAAAAGGAGTTGGAATGCTCCAGCAACACTTCTACTGGGACATCAATAAACACAAAAGTTCTGAGTGAAATGACAGGAAGAATGAACCAATACAGAATTTCTACAGTCAGAACATTTTGTGATCTAAACTGAAGACCATGGTTTTGTTCTAAAGCTTTTGGCTCCAAGAACACGCCGAATCCCCTTCAAATTTTTCTGGCAAGTGGCACTGCTGACCTGTTATGAACAAGAAAGGAAGCTGTGCAGCAAAACATCTATTGGGAAATGGGCAGGAGTTCTCTTGAGGGTTTTATTCCATAGCCCATTGACCAGGGACCACAGACACACACTCACGGAAAATGAGAACAGATCAAATTCAGGCTGCTGAAATGCTTGAAAAATCTGGTGTCCTTTCAACAGCTGGGGACTCAGACATACCTCACCACTCCTCACTCCTGTTTCCCCTCTCTCCTTTTTTCCCCTTATGCTTTCTTCTTTCTTTCCAGAAGAGGACAAAAAAAAAAAAAANGGAAATTGAGGAGCTATATAAACCACCTAACAAATAAATGGAGTATGAGAGGATGAATAAGGCAAATTAACTAAGAGGATGAAAGTATTTTTTTTTTAGATACCTAGTTCACCTGGTTCACCTTTAAGTCATGGCAGATAGCTCATTATATGAAAGTTCAAAAGCTATGTAATTTCAATGATGTTAAAAACATCATGTTTTATGGATAGATGAAAAATAGAAACTGAAGCACATTTTTTCACAAAACCTCTAACTCACACATGACTACCTTGTAATGAATTTGTAATGTATTAAAAAAAAGGTATTTTCCAGAATGTGTGTGAAGTCTCTGTTTAGACATTTAAATACACTGCACTGTTTTCAGAAGCACCCAAATGCAGATTTAGAACTTAAGTGTTACAGGAATTTGGGGGACAAAAGTATTTCACTTCTGTTAGGGTCTAACCTGTTGCTCTCTGGCGAACCATATTTCTTGCTTTCTCAACTCCTGGTGCTCCAGAGGTGGTAGCACTTCTGAATCTCATGGGCTCCACAACTTCAGGGTGGCTTTTCCAGCTTAACGAAAAAGATCTTCCCACTACAGCTGTCTTTTGAGGTTCCAAAATTCCACCTTTGGTGGAAAGAAAAAATAAATCTCCATTATTAGGTGCTTTGACACACACTTTTCCACAGTATGAAGAGACTTTTAAGCAAGTAGAAATGTAAAATATTAATTTTTGGTCCATTTCAACTTGGTATGCCAATTGTAAAAGGACACATAAATATAGTTCAAATACTATGAAAAGTATTTTGAAAAAATTTAGTGTTGATGACTATGCCAGGCTACAGCACAGTAAATGTTTCAGTCCCGCTACACAAAAGAATGATCTTGAGCTCCTACTAAAAACGGAATAGGCAGTTTTATTGACACTTATTCCCTTTCCTCCCACAAGGTGGGAGGAGAACAAAAATCAAAAYATTTCACCTCTGCTTAAAAAGAGTCTTATAACTGATGATGGGTATTCATGTTAGATTAAAAGAAATTTTCTTTTCATTTTTTTCATCTTATTTAGCTTGTTTGATATAAATAGCACTGAAAAAAAAGAGACTGACCTTTTCCYCTCTGCTTTTTTTCTTTTTGCTCACTCAGCTTATCCAGGGGTAAGTTGGTCATTTCGACCCCATACACCGTCCTCGCCAACACCGCGGTCAGGGAATCCATGATGTTGGCCCATTCACTGATGAGCTCCTCCCAGGCCGTGAGGGACGACAGGACACCAAGCAACTCATCCCAGAGCTCCCGGGAAATATAAACGCTCAGATTTGCTCTGATCCAAGCAACAATGAGAGTCTGAGGGAAGAGGAAGAAATGAGAGCACGGCCATCACTGCCAAGATGAACTCAAGGCATCAGCCTGTAACTGGAATATGCAACAACTGAGTGGAGCTTTGAGTGTTCTAATACTAAAAGTCCTTTTTTTCCTTTCCCAATATTGACATGATATATTGTACCTAACACTGACATAATATATATAAACATAAGCTGATGATAATCCATATGAACTTGTCAGTAAATGCACAGTCCTAAAGATGAGTAAAGTGTTCATTAAGAGGAATTTAATTATGCTACATGGCAATACTAGTAAGATAGACAAAAAAAGAAAATTCATTTTTGTCTATGTGATCTAGGGCCTCTTTCCTCATACTCTCAGTTTTACAAAGGGTCATTTACTTAGGTGCCTTACATATGTATTCTCTTACTGCAGTTCTTCATTGCATAAACTCTTCATTTTACTTTTTTTCATGCATGCTTTGAAGAACAAGTTACTGATCCAAATGAACGTGTTCAGTTCAAGTTCAATAAAGACTAACTCTCCTATGCTCTTATAAAGTAAACTGAGATCAACTCTCCCTGAAGGCAACTGGAAATAAAGCATTAAGTTTAAAGTGAGGTAGTGCAACTGTTATATCTGCTTTTTGGTGTTGATCTTCACATCAAAACTGGGACAAGGGGGAGTGCTGAGTCCTGAAATAACACATGGATATTTTTCATCAATTAACTGCTTGCTTCATTTTGGAAGCAGTCATCTTCTGTTAGTAGAAGGTTAAAAATTAATACTGATATTACTAAAAAACATAGTATATCATGTTTTACAAATAACTTTCATAATATTGGGCAAATTGAAATTAAACTAAAACTAATGATAATAAAAATTCATAAGAAATCCCTTTCCATAGAAAAATTAGCATCACAAGAAAATTACTCACTCGGAAAAGTAATCCTGACATGCTCTGGGCAAATGTATCCTTCATTTGGCTCTCCCTTGGCTTCTGCATCACAGCTTCTGTAATTCTGAGGAGTATCTGTAACATCTGTTCCCTGGTAACAAAACAAAAAGGCACTTTTTGCTCACATTTTATTAGTTATACTTGTAATTTTCAGGTACCAATAACACTCAATTCTTTGACAAGCTTACACTCTACCGATCATTTGCAGAACATTAGTTACTTGCGGTCATAAAAGCTAATTTTTGAAAAGGCAACATCAAGAATGAAAACACAGGAACTTCAAAGCCAAAAAGCAGCAAGACAAACTAAAAAGTGAACCTGAACAAAGTCRGGAATTTGAGTTACCTTCACTTCATTTAAGCATATATGCAAAACTCATGAGTTCAATAGGGTAAGAATATTAGGTTTAACGCAGTAAATCATTTTTCCCTTACCAACAATTCTTCCACACAGCTTATATGTTAATTTACTACTTAAGTAATGTACTCACCAAGTTTTTTTATTCATTGATAGTTCCATTATCATGCGCCTAAAAATACTCAGAACTGCTCTGCAAGCATCAACTTGTTCCTTCAGAAGTGCAGGGACCTCAAGGCATGGTTCCAATAAGAACACATTCGCAGAGTTTGTCAAGAATACCTTTAAAAAAAAGGCATTTAAATTCAATTTACATAGGGAGATACACACACAAAAGTCTTATCTTTGTATGGCATTGTTTATAACAACTGCACATAGTTGGCTTTCCCCAGTCACAGAGCACATAAAAACCTTTATCAAGCTCCTCAATCAAAATTGAGGGTTTTTTGTTTGTTTGACATAAGCCAGTAGAGTAATATTTCAGTAAGTGAAGAGAAAGCAACAGAATTCCTCCTGGCATTCTGATATTGCTGCTTCCAAAGTACAGCTGAACTGCTTTAGTGATAACAGAAGGCTCCCCACATGTTGGAGGGCAACAACTGGAGGGTAACAACTCCCAGCAAGTGTTTGTGGATTCTATATTTACAGTTTTCAATCTATACTGACTTCTCATTAAAGCTGCTACAGCCTATGTACTTGAGTAACTATGCAGAGTTAATAAGAGCTTCATATCCACTGGCATGAAAATTTACAGTTGTTTGGTCTTATAAGAAACCATACATCATCATATATAGCCATTTCATTTAGCAGAAATAGATGGTTTTATTTCACTAAACACAATGTAATAACTGTAACAATATGAGAATTTCCTTTGTTAATTTTCTCTGAATAATCAGCAATGATACAAGTCTGCTTAGACACTGGCAAGTACAGTGCTCCTGAGTAAAGCATAACTTGAATACGAAAATATTTATACTAATAGAATCATGTTTACATAGTATAAAAATACAAAGAGTTCTCTATTGAAAAGTTCTGATGAACTTTTGTGAAATAATCCATCTTGGGAAAGATTCAATCTGTCAGGAACTGGTGTTTATATCTAGATGTGCCTTAGTCTTGCCTTCCTTGAGGAAAGACACCCCCACAAAACAAAAGAACAAAATCAACACCTCCAACAATCTGTATACGCTCAATAAAAGCTGCTTACAGTACTTAAAAGGCAAGAGTAAAGACTAGAGAGATAATGTTATCTGTATTCTCTGTTACCAAGGAAAGGGACAAGAGCCACAAATTGCAGCTTGAGAAGTTAAGGTTAGCCAGCAGGAAAAGTTTCTAATTATGGGGGATATCATAGCTCTGTCAAAGGTTGTCCAGAGAAGTTTATCTTAGTGCAGCCTCTACCCCACTCCTGACAACAGTCCAATTTTTCACCAGAAAAAGTTACACAAACTGTCTTCACAGGGCAACTGCACATGCCAAGAGGGTCTGTGTYAGACACACAGGACGAGAGCTTCCATTTTGCACCATGGAGAGTGCACGCGAGTGCCCCAACGAGACACAGAGCAGAGCACATTTGTCTTCAGCATGACCAGAAATGTGGTTTGCAGAAGGAAGATGCTGGTGAGAACGCTGGTCAAACCCTTTGACCATGACCTCTATGTTAATACAGAAATACATTTAATACTTGAATACATTGCCTACAAAATTAAAAAAAGAAGAATTTTAATAGTTACTCAACCGCATAGCTTTCTTAATTATTTTGGGGCTAATTTCTGCCAACTTCAAGCCTTCTGCCAACTTACTGATGTTGAATTCCATTACTACAGTCAAGTTTGAACTAATGTATGTCATTAAATTTGAACGGTAGTAGATAGTAAAGATGATGGTATTTAAAACATAATTTTCTTAAGCTGTATAAAAATGCACTCCATCACTGGCAGCTTGCTATGTGTTTCCCCAAAACACCTAAGAGCTAAACTAACATTAYGAAAAGCTTGAAGTATAAGAAAACTGATAAGAATAAAACAAATATTTTACCTTAACTAGGACTGTCAAAAACACTAGAATAAATCACTATCTTTGTTCCATTAAATATGATGATAATACAATTTTCATCACACCTGTAATGCAGCTTGAGTGCCAGCTTTAATATTTTTGTCTTCATCTTCTAATATGCATCCCCTGTTAACAGCACTCGTGAAGGAATAGGTTCTTCCCCAGCTGGATGATCGTTTATGGCCTGAATGGTCCGAGGCAAGCTGTCAAAAACACAATGCAGATAGGTACAAAAGGAGAACTGCTATGGCTCACATCCATTCTGGGAAGGCATTCTATTATTTATATATCATTTGCTTGTTTAGAGATGTATGAAGTTTAAAGGTTTGTAGCAAAATTCAAGGACTATCTTGCTTTAAAATATCATATATTACATTCCATAAAATCATTCATTGTTTTAATACTTGGATCTTAGAAGTCAGGTAAAAACTGTAAATCCTCTACGAAAATAATCCAGTGGAAACCCTATGATTTTTACTAGTTTTACAAYTCAACCTTCTTTCTTTACCTAGCTTCGCTTAATATAGTTTCGTGCCAGTGTCAAASTCAACATTTACAGATGGCTCTTTATAAAATATGAAAAAGATGATGCTGCAAAACTCATACACACACACACTTTAGTTTCCAAAGGTTAATGTGTCCGCAGGCAAAGTTTTGATTCTCATATATAAGGGTTTGTAAATATCTCCAAATTCTTGAATATTCCTCTCAAAATAAACACAAACCCACACATACTGCAATAACAAAGCACAAACATTTAGTACTGCGGCACATACTAARTTCTTGCTTTTGTATTTATGTAGATAGAAAATAATTAAGAAACTATGTTTTTCTCAAAACAAATTTGAAATCCTTCCTCGCTGCCAGTAAGGTGAACTGAACACTTAAGTTTCTTCTTGCATTTCTGAACCTTAAATATAGGACTTCTTAACCTTGTTTTTTCCAAACACTTTGTTAATTGTTACCTATTGACAATTAAAGAAACTACTGAATGCAGTGAAAAGATAAATAATATACCCCATGCAAAGCAAATAGCATAAGAGCACTGGTACTATACRTGTTTGCTATCTGTTTGCACGGATGAATCCTCCAAGTTGGAAACATCGTCCTGGTCATTTTCCTTTTTATCTGGCTCCTCCATGAACGCCGGTTTCTCTTGCAATATCCATTTCCGATAAACCTTAATCACTTTTCGTGTTGCAGATATATCAGAAGAAGGCAACAAAAAAGCCTAAATTCAAAAGTTAACACAAATCAACATATGTAGGAAACAGGTAGGTGTATATGCTTATGTATATATAGCAATAGTGAAGGAGACTATACATGTGTGTATCAATAGTATATATAGGTATGTACATATACACCCTCATTATATGAGGGCCCACAAAAAGTTTAATTTTTACCTCTGCACCTGTGTTAAAGCAAGTTGCAGTTAATCAACAACCTATTCACACACTGCAGCACTGCACATTTCCCTCCATTAAAATGATAATTCCAACTTTGAAGTTCTTGTTCTCAAATGATTAACAGGACAAAACTCAAAATCATTTCATTTCAGAGTATTCATTCACAGCATAGTTTTCTATAACCAATTCAAGTGCAAAAACAGAATGTTGCTCAGGTTGGGGGAAACCCTTTAGGCAGCRCATTTCCTTTCATCTGGTCAGTAAGAAATACAACAGATAAATAGAATCTTTCAACTAACGATCTACAGAGGTTGAAGGGGGTGGCAAGAGCAAGTTCATATATGCGACAGCAATTGCTGTATGTGAAATTCCTGAAAAATGTCTTCAAAATCACTGGCAGGTGATTAAGGACGCCCAAGTCAGAAGAGCAGAACAATCCAAAGTCAAGGCAACAGTACAGCTGTCCTCCAGGAAAAAACCTGCCCACCAGAAGAGGGCAGCACACCACAACATTTCCTATGGATGTGCTTGAGAGAACAAGGAATGTTTTTATGCATCAACCTTGTAAAAAGTAGTAGTGGCACCCAAGTCACTCCAAAACAAAGCCCGTATGCTCACTTGGCTGGGACCATTCTCCTCTATGAATTTGTGTGAGCTAGGAGGCTGCTACTTCAAGGGATTCCAGGCTTAGAACCTGACCAAAAGAAGCACAAGTAAAACTACTCATCTGTCAATATATTCTTTGAAGAGATTCTCATGTTTATTGTTGAGAAAAATGTCTAGGTATTTTAACTGAATTGGGAGTTCTTTTTATCTAGAGAAGAATGAGCATAAAGTTCCCATCATTTTCTTCATCTGTAATTTATCTTATATTGGAATGCAGTCCCAAGTCAATGCCGAATAGTCTATTTTTTAACAACTAGAATTGTAAACATACCAGCATTAATCATTAACAACATCAAACATACCTGAAATCTTTGTAATTTCATTAGCATTGCTTACTAAATTCAGTATATTTATAAGAATCTTTATACTAAAACAAATGTATAATTCTTTTACCTCTGCCTGGGAAAAAACAACCACCTAGGACGGACTTCAAAACAAAACAGTGCACGTGTCCCTGCCWTCAAGTCTCCCTGCCTGAAGAGACTTCACAGGCTTCTATCTCACAGCCATACCTTTCCCTTTAAAAAAAAATAAAGGTAACGGGCAACTACACACGGCTGCTTCAYGCAGCTTACCTGGCGAAAGACTTCATTAACGAAGTTAACGTAGCCGCGCGTGGAGAGGAGGATTCTCTGCACCATCTCGTAGACGGAGCCATGCTGCTCCTCGATGCTGCAGAGGCTGCAATTGCTGAGGCGCCGGTCGGACAAGGTGCTGCTGTTCGAGTGGTTCCTCTCCTGCTCGCTCGCGTGGGGCGTGCTGCTTTCCAGCTCCGTGGCTTTATCCTGGCTTGCAGCACCCACAGTCTACAAGGAGGAAAACACACTTCTAATTAAGTCACTATAGCATTATAAAMCACATCAAAAAGCTGGACTCATACATATTCTGAATGTGAAGTACTGGTGCTTGTTTTGAGATGATAAAAATTGGCCCCAGTCACTAAATGTAACTATCCGGCTAGCACTTCATCGAAGATGACGTTTTGACCTCTTATGTAATTCAGATATTTCTCCTCTCCTCAGAACAGCTGCCTTGTCACTCCTGGGAGAAAAGCAAACCTTAGTTTGAAAAACCGGACCAGACAACTGCTATAGGCTTCTGAATCACAAAACCATCATCCCTGCAAATGGGCTCAGGTGAGGGAGGATTTACCTCCGAGAGGAGAGGGAGCAGCAGCATCTTCACAGATTTATGAACCATAACTTGGATATTTTAATTGGTGTCAGCTGTCTTAAAGAGCAAAAAGAAAAAAAATCTTTCCAATCTACACCTGCTGGAATAGCTTCATAACTGCTCCCATATAAAGACAAAATACTACAAAAAAGATTTTGTAGATTAAAATCTACAAAAAAGCACCTTCAATAGGCAGAACACTATACCTAACATGAAGATTTAGAACACTTAGCTGAATAAATTCAAAAATGACACTAAAATACACAGGTTGACCATATGATTTTACAGTGAATCCCATTTTTATACAGGCATATGATTCAATAGAAAAATATTAAGTATCTCATTGATCTAAGCTCTTTAATAGGAAGTTAGAGACTCTTAAAAGAAAACAAYGCATCGTTTTAAAATTCATTGCAAAATCCCTTATCCTGGAGAATGTCTACCAGTAATTTGATATTAAGACATTGTTATATCTCACTGTAAACAGCTATTATCAAGAGAAAAAAAAATAAACATTCTGCACCATTACTGGTGAGAAACCAAACTGGTGAGAAACTGTTCCACTGCCCACAAGTTTGACAGCTTATAGATTAMATTCTGGAAGTCTAAAGAAAACTTTGAGAAAAATTATATACATACACACATACATATATGAAAAAATTATAATGGGCTATAGGACACACAGCTGTGGGAAAATATCACTAGTATATGACTAACAGGGATTACTTTTTTTTGGAAAATTCTCTCTTCTAAAGAGGGGGAAAAAAGTAAAATACATCATTTATTCACTTAGTGGCAGCATTCCCTTCTTGCTTCCGTTTGTCAGTGTGCTGCGATCGTGTGCAATTTCTGTTTAAATATATTAAGAAAACAGAGGTAAGCTTTAGAGCACACCTGAATAATTTTAGGGAGCATTTCTCCTCCATTTTTTGTATGCTGGACAGCAGTTACATATTTCTTTTCAAGAAAGAAGGTGACAAGCCACTTAATAAATACAACTCGAGCAGCCATATATGGAATTTTTGTGCTGTAGATACTTTCATTGTTTCGTGTTGCAGTAACATACACCGGTCTTGGTCTTACATCAGGAATATCTGGAGAGGAAAAGAAAAAAGCTCATCTTAGAAAAACTATAATTTCTTGCAGATTCTGGAATATTGGGGAGCATGACTTAAGTCAGAGAAGGGAACAGAGGGATGATGAAGAAGCGTCTGCAAAACATGAGGTGAATATTAGCTCCACTGCTCCCATTCAATCACCAGCTCTTTAATATTGTTCACTAGAACACTGGGGAAAAGAGTCAAAACCAAACACGAACATTGCTGAAATAATGTCTTTTATCCTACAACTCTACTTTCTAGATGCTCTTAATATAGTGCTGTTTCCACTTTCCTCCACAGCCACATATCTACCACCTTTCAATTCCTCTGCGACACTCCTCCTCTCTTCCTTGCTTCACAAAAACCAATGCTATTTATCAATAGTATTATTAGCCGAAATAATGCTATTTACATTAGCTACTCCCTGACATTCAGGCGTTTTACTCATTATTTTCAAAACCCTCTACGAGAGCATATCCTGTCCTCATTACCCATCAACACTAACGCATTCCTTGCTCACTCAATATAAATGCCATGCAGTCATGGGCAAGGAGAACAAGGACAACCCATACACAGCAATGAATAGGAGCAGCTTCATCAACTATTACAGAAAAACTGCAGTTAATCTAGAAAGATTCAACAGTGCTGGAGCTACATGCCACTAGCTACAAGAGATGCYACAAAAAATAGTCACCATTATTACTTCTTCTATAATAAGCTATAAAGATAAAATTCACTACTTACCAAGAACAGGCTTGTATAGGTTGGTTAGCTTTGTAAAAGATGGAAACAAGTGAGGAAGATAGTACTTTCTAAACAAGGTAAAGAGAAACTTAAAACCAGTATCTTGGTTTTCCTTATTCTTCCACTCCAAGCTTGCCGCCTTTTCCACGGATACAGAGAAACAAAAAGAACAAAAACCAAACACACCTTAATGTGTTATCCTCGGAATCTGTCCATGCTGATGACAAAATGCTTTTCTTGTTTAATTATATCAGAGAAAAAAAACTTCATCCTTTTATAAAAGATACATTATATCATATATATCATATACATGTATATATATATCATACACAACACACAAACTTGAGCTGTTTAGGGTTTTTTGTTGTTGGTTTTTTTCTACTCTGATCTTTAAATACCCTTTCTTCAAGTCTTCTCAAAAGCCATGGAGTTGGCAATTTCCTCATTTTGCAAAATAGACATGCAGAGCTTGTTAAACTCTACCAAGCTACAGACATAAATTATTAAATACACATTGTAGTATTAATATTGTGGAAYGGTTACTGTGATTCCTGTATTTTCATATCTTTGGCATTAAAGCATTAAATCTTATTAAGAAATTAGGAATACATGAGGAAAACCCTGCCCATGTAACTGTACTTAATTCCTGTACATCTGCAACAATTGCCTGTATGATACAAAATGGTAGGGAAACAAATATAAATTTTGGAAACAATTACTGAATTTTGTTATGTTTTCTGAGTATAAAACCTGTTTTTAGCATCTGAGAACTTTGAGCTCTCTAGAAACCAAAGGCTTTTCCTGCTCAAAGTCATAGTTTACCTCAGCTTTCACTCTTATTTTTCTATCTTGATCAATTAACAGACAAGTCTACTTCCTTGGCTTACTATAAGTTTCATTAGGGAATTAGTTTAGTGTCTTTGGGCTAATTCAACTGGGAAATTAGCAATCACCATTCTACTGCTGGGAAGAAAGTTCAAAAATTCATATCCTCCTCTGTAATTAGCACCTGCGGTGTAAAAAGTAAAACTAAACTTCAACTTTGTCAGCTTCACAGTAACAGCTGCTGAATCATAGTAGCTACAGGAGATTTACAGGAACTCTTTGTGGAAGATCTTTATGGATACTAAGTTTACAAGTCTGGACAAATGTTCAACTTTTTCATATTTGTGATASGAATTTTCAACAAAAATGTTGCCAGGAAACATCTTTGGGATGATTGCTTTTTTAGAAACAAAAACAAAATGCAGAAGACAKCTTCTTGGAGAACATGTCTAGATAGAGTATAAAACTAAGTTTTCTAACAGTTATATTCCTGCAAACGTGAACAGTTAAAAACATATCTTCATCGCACCTGAATTACCATATATTTTAACAGTAACTGAAGGAAAAAACAGGTTTGGTCTTCAGCAATTTTTTCTCCAGAGACAGCTGGCAAAAGTGGGGTTATCTCTTCAGGATAGATCTTAGCTAAAATATAAAGAAAAAGATGCCTTAAACAGAGAAAAATTAAAGGCATTAAAATTAAAAGGATTACCTTGCGAATACTGAATAATACACTTAAAGCCAAACTCCAATAACTGTTTAAGTTTACAGTATTTCCCCAGGTTTCACAACATTTAGCTGGGGATGGAACCAGCTCTTTTYTTTCTTCATTAAGCCCTCACATATGCAAACATAATGAAACAGGAACACCTCTGATCTGAATGAATAGCTGTATAGTTCCTAGCATGCAACATGTGACATATCTATATATAAATATGTAAGATAGTAGGCATAATTATATAACAATTCTGATACATAACATTTCATACACAGCATCAGACATGACATATATTTATACACACACACACACWCWCWCTCTGATAGTAATGTTTATAAAAAATAGAGGATAATATAATTTTGTAAAGGAAGGACTGGGTTAACTACGCCAAATCAACAGCTCTAAGAAATACAAATCCTCTATCATTTACACAACTGAAAATAATCTATAAAATTCTGAAAACAGTGATGATAAACCAAATACATCTGAATTATGTTTATTTATATAACATTTGGAGAAGAAACACACATTCACATTTCATTTCAAAATCTTTCCTGAATGAAGACAGGGATGCAATGTTTTACAGAGAACGCAGACCAGGTCAGTGCTGACTAAGCAGTACATCCTCTCAAGACTTTCATGACAGCCTGAAAAGGGATATATTTTGCCTTCTGAATCTAGAGAGAAGTCCAAGGCTTCTTCCATATAGTGATATGGAAAGCTTCATGCATGCTCCTGGTGTCTCATGCTTCATTAGGGTTTATTTAGACTGAACAAGTTTGGGCACACTGGTCAGAAATGCCTTCACTGACTCTTATTTGTATTTCTRCCATTGTCACAGATTCACAGAATATTCAAGGTTGGAAGGGACCTCTAGAGATCATCTAATCCAACCTTCTCGCTCAAGCAGGCACACCTAGAGCATGTGGCACAGGGCGGCATGCAGGCGGGTTTTGAAGACCTCCAGAGAAGGAGACTCCACAACCYCCCTGGGCAGCCTGTTCCACTGCTCTGTCACCCTAACAGTAAAGAAGTTGCTCCTCACCTGGAGACGGAACTTCCTGTGCTCCAGCTTGTGGCCATTACCCCTCGTCCTATCGCTGGCCTCCACTGAAAACAACTTGTCCCCTTCCTCCCTGCATTCTCCCTTCCTGAACTTATACATATTAATCTTATCCCCTCTCAGCCGTCTCTTCTCCAGAGAAAACAGGCCCAGCTCACTCAGCCTCTCCTCGTACGAGAGATGTTCCATTCCCTTAATCATCCTGGTTGCTCTTCTCTGGACCCTCTCCAGAAACTCCACGTCCTTCCTATACTGGGGAGCCCAGAACTGAACACAGTACTCCAGGTGCGGCCTCACCAGAGCTGAGTAGAGGGGCAGAATCACCTCCCTTGACCTGCTGGCAACACTCCTCCTGATGCAGGCCAGGATGCCATTGGCCTTCTTGGCCACGAGGGCACACTGCTCACTCATGGTTAACTTAGTGTCAACCAGGACTCCCAGGTCCCTCTCCGTGGAGGTGCTTTCCAGCAGGTCCACCCCTAATCTGTACTGATGCCTGGGGTTATTCCTCCCCAGGTGCAGGACCCTGCACTTATCCTTATTGAACCTCATGAGGTTCCTCTCTGCCCAACTCACCAGCCTGTCCAGGTCCCTCTGGATGGCAGCACAGCCTTCTGGAGTGTCAGCCACTCCACCCAGCTTGGTGTCATCTGCAAACTTGCTCAGGATGCACTCAGCGCCCTCGTCCAGTTCACTGATGAACAAATTGAACAGCACCGGGCCCAGCACTGACCCCTGGGGGACACCACTGGCCACAGGCCTCCAACTGGACTCGGCCCCATTTATCACCACCCTCTGAGCTCTGCCATCCAGCCAGCCCTCGATCCACCRCACCGTGCACTCATCTAGTCCACTGTCCCGGAGCTTCCGTATGAGGATATTATGGGAGACGGTGTCAAAAGCCTTGCTGAAGTCAGGCTAGACAACCTCCACGGCTCTCCCCTCGTCCAGCCAGCCTGTCACCCCATCATAGAAGGCTATGAGGTTCGTCAGACATGACTTCCCCTTGGTGAATCCATGCTGACCGCTCCTCAACACCTTCTCCTTCATATGCCCGGAGATTCTCTCTAGGATGAACTGCTCCATCACCTTTCCAGGGACGGAGGTGAGGCTGACCGGCCTGTAGTTGCCCGGCTCCTCCCTCTTGCCCTTTTTGAAGACTGGAGTGACATTGGCTCTTTTCCAGTCCTCAGGCACCTCCCCTGCTCTCCAGGACCTCTCAAAGATGATGGAGAGAGGCTGAGCAATAACCTCGGCCAGTTCCCTCAGCACTCTTGGGTGCATCCCATCTGGGCCCATAGATTTTTGAGTGGCCAGTTTGCCTAAGTGATCCCTAACCCAATCCTTCTCAGCCCGTGGAAGGTCTTCCTCTAGCCCATTTACATCTCTTCCMTTTGTGCCCTGCAGTTCATGGGGGGTCGTCTTAGCAGTAAAGACAGAGGCAAAGAAGGCATTTAGTAACTCTGCCTTCTCGGCATCCTCCGTCACCAAGGCCCCTTCCCCATTCAGCAGTGCACTAACATTTTCCCTCATCTTCCTCTTGCTATTGACATACTTATAGAAACCTTTCCTGTTGTCTCTGACTTGCCTCGCCAACTCTAATTCCACCCAGGCTTTGGCCTTCCTCATTTAGCATCTGCAATCTCTGACAATGTGCCTGTATTCCTCCCATGTGGCCTGTCCCTTCTTCCACAAGCTGTACACTCCTTTTTTTCTCGTTCACTTTGCCCAGCAGTTCCTTACCCATCCATACAGGTCTCCTGCCTCACTTACTCGACTTTTTTTGTGGGAATACACCGATCCTGAGCTTGGAGGAAGTGGTGCTTGTATAGAAGGAAGTGGCGCCAGCTCTCCTGGACTCCCTTTCCTTCTAGGACCCTGACCCAGGGGACTGCTCCAAGGAGCTCCCTGAAGAGGTCAAAGCTGGCTCTCTTGAAGTCCAGGGTAGCTATCCTACTTCTCGCCCCACTTCCTCCACGCAGGATCGTGAATTCCAACATCTCGTGGTCGCTGCAGCCCAGACTGCCCCCAACCCTCACATTTCCCACTAGACCATCTCTGTTTGTTAGTATATAGGTCTAGCAGCGCCCCTCCCCTTGTTGGCTCCTCAACAACCTGCATCAAGAAATTATCTGCAATGTTCTGCAGGAACCTCCTGGACTGTCTGTTCCTGGCTACRTGGTTTTCCCAGCAGATATCAGGGTGGTTGAAGTCCCCCAGGAGGACCAGGGCCTGTGATCGGGAGGCTTCCCGCAGCTGCCCGTAGAAGGCTTCGTCCACTTCCTCATCCTGGTCTGGAGGCCTGTAGTAAACTCCTACCACTGTGTCACCCCTGCTGGCTTGCCCCTTTATCCTCACCCACAGGCTCTCTACTYGYGTTCCATYCTCYCCTATGCTGAGCTCTAAGCATTCCAGTTGCTCCCTCACATAAAGAGCAACTCCRCCACCTYGCCTTCCTGCCCTGTCCCTCCTGAAAAGCCTATAGYCCTCCATAGCCACATTCCAGTCATGGGAGCTGTCTCACCATGTCTCAGTAATTGCGATGAGATCATGGCCCTGTAACCACATGTGCATCTCCAATTCCTCTTGTTTATTSCCCATGCTGCGTGCGTTTATGTAGAGGCATTTGAGTGGGGCTCCCAATGTGCCTCTCCTCTTTGTCAGGACAGCTGCAGCCTGACTGTGTGGTCTCTCAGAAGTTCTCCTATTTTGCCCTAYGGCCTCTTCAGTCCTAGAGGACCCTTCACAGGCTACAGGTCTAGACTGCTGTGGATGGTGTGACGGGCCATCAGGCACTATCTCATCTGCCACCCCACGGATACCCCCCTCCCCCCTCGAATCTAGTTTAAAGCCCTCATGATGAGCCCAGCTAGCTCCTGCCCCAGGACCCTCTACCCCTTTTGAGAAAGATGGACCCCACTGGGTGCCATCATGCCTGGTGCCATGTAAGACTCCCGGTTACCAAAGAAGCCAAAGTTCTGGCGATGACACCAGCCACGGAGCCAAATGTTAATGGACTGTACCCTATGATTTCTTTCTGTATTGCCAGCAGTTCTGGGAAGTATCAAACAGAAGATGACCTGTGCGCCTGCRTCCCTGATCATCCACCTCAACTCCCTAAAGTCTCTTTTAATTGCCCTCAGGCTACGCGTTGCCGCYTCCTCTGCACCCACATGTAGGACCATCAAGGGATAATAGTCCGTGGGTCRGAYCAGYCTGGGAAGTCGTCTGGTGACATCYCTAATCCTGGCCCTAGGAAGACAACAGACCTCTCTGGAGAGGGGGTCGGGTCTAGCAATCGGTCCCTCTGTTCCCTGAATCTGGGAATCATCCACAATAACCCTCCTATTCTGCCTCCTGTCCATGGTGACAACCTGCGCAGTTGGCCTTTCTGACTGCAGCACCTCCTCTGGAGGGGAGGGACCCAATCCCTCACCCTCCACCGACTGCCCTGCCTCCTTCAGGGCCTCATACCTGTTTGCCAGGGGGACCCTGCAGGGTAAGGTGGGAGAAGGTTTCACCTTGCCACCTCAAACCYRGACTTTTATCCACGCATTCCTCTGCTCTTTACCATCTTCATGTCYTGTCTTGGGATTGGAACCTGTACTAACCTGTCGCTGCTGCTGAGCCCTCCCTGGTGCCTGCCCCCGTTTCTCCCCGTTTCAATTGTCCACAGATTTCAATTCCTGTTGCGGGCATTTTTGGAAACTGTAGCTTGCAAGTCCTTTCTACAGAAGCCTTAACTGTTCCCTACACAACAGCTGATATTGTGCAACGTGGGTGGCAAACCCTTACTCCTCTGCTATAATATAACACATAGTSTCTTGCAAATCATCTTAGGTTCATCCTCCCCCATTTGCAATTTACATTTCAAATGCCATGAATATCGCATCCCCAATGTGAAATTTAGATTATTTTCCTAGCATTTCAGAATATTTCTCTCTCAAGGCATACCTGAAATTTCCTCTAATTTACTTACCATCTAGTGAATTAGAAGGAGGACTAATGACGTTATCTAATGTACAGGGACCCCTTGAGGACATAATTGGTGGAAAACCAGGCACAAGGCATGCAAATATTAATATTTGCTCTTCCTCACAGTTAGTCTGAAGTGCTTGAAGCCAAAGAAGAAACAGTCTGATTCCTTCACATCTTATCTACAAGGAAATGATTTTATAGAAAATGATAGTAAAACAAATTGAGAATAACACAAATATTTAAGACAATGCAGGGTATGTAGTGTCATCCCCACTATGTAGCAGTGACTCTTTCAGTCATAGCATATGAATAGTCCAAACACATGAATAACTTTGCCAGATTTTTTTTTAATAGCAAAGTGTCCAAAGAATGATCTACGGTTAAAAAAAGTTTAAGCGGTGATTTAGTAAAATAATCTTCAAAGTGTAACAATCTACAAAAAATGGATATTGCAATCTGTAAAGTAATATGCTTTATAGAAATTCAAGTTGAAAGAAATCTACTAGAAATACCTTGGCAGAGTTTCCAGTGTGCAAAAGTTTCTTCAAAATAGACCCTGAATTAGGAAAAGGAAATAGGAAAGTATCATATACTTTCATATACCCACTTTTACCCAGAAGGCAAAAAAAAAGCAAAGCCCCAAAGAATTTTATTACTATCATCATTAGTATCATCTAGTGACTATTACTGAAATTTCAGGTATTTTGCTTTTAGACAGATATCAACTTTCTCAGGTTATTTTTATTACTAAAAAAATAACTAGGGGATGTTTTGGCTTACTAGGTTCAGGCAAATGCTTTAAACAACTGTTTTAAAAAAAATTAGATAAATACACAGTACTTTGCACCAAGTAGCAAATGGATTAAAATATTTCTAATTTGTATGGATAATGCATTCAAAATATGCTAAACATGGGCCACGATAAAGAAAAGTGCTAGACATCTATTCTGTATTCCTGTGTGTTCATAAACAACCAATAACCATTAAACATGTAAAATAAATTGATTCTGGTTTTAAAAAATACAAAGGTCAACTGCCTATATTTTCAYGTCTCACTGGAAAGGGATCACACATTGGATAGTTCAGTTAAAGTTACAGGACTTTTTAAAGTGAGAAAAATAACAGTTTAGCACTCAGATGTTGCTTCTGGTTCTGAGAATTATGTGCATTATTTAAATGTGATGCTTTTCTCAGCATCTCACCTTTTCACAGTAACAAAGAGAACTTACTAACATATTTCCAAATATGTCACCACATCTGAACATGAAACAAATAACAATTTCCAAAGTATATTTATAAACAATTGCATCGTCAAATTTATCTACAGAACACAGCTATAAATTTATCCAAATAAAACCTTTCAAAAGAAACAGAAATATAAAGCAAAGATACTTTAGCTGCAAAGCAATTGACTCAAACCAATTTGTGCTGGTCTAGCCTAGAGGAAATTAGCAGTAAAGGGGTCAAATGGATGTCTCCTTTTATTTTTGTCACTGCTAACTAGAAATTCGACAGCAGCCCTTTCCTTGACCCTTAACTTCCACTCATTATCACTTATGCCAGAGCAAATTCCTTGTTCTGATGAAAAATACAGCAGCTGACAAGTTGGAACTGGAAACCAAAACAAAGGAAAAAAACAGAGGGAGTAGGAAAAAAAGGAAGAGAAAGACACCCTCACAACTGCATTTTCTCTCCAGTCTGCTACAAGTAACAAAACATTCTACCCAGTTCTGCTTCTCAGTGTCACTGGATTGTCACAGCAGCAGCACATTAAGCATTAATTCAAGGGAACGATCAGGTTAAATGTCCTTGTATTTCAAGTTCCTTTGGCACATTATTTTAGTCGATTTGGTCCAATAATCAAATGAAGAGAGGAAGAAATTTTGCTGCCTGGYTCCTGTGCTTTAAGTACAGTGCCAAAATTTTGATTATAAGCCCCAATAAAACTATAAATCACTAAAAGGTAATGATCTTCAAACTAAAGACACTTAAACTTTTTGATCCCTTGTGTTAGAAACTCATTCAAGAAACGTTTCAAGCCAAGCACTCAGAATAAGTGTCGTAATCCATTTGTTGACACCTTCATTTTTCATACACGTGTCGCAATACGCTCTGCAGCAACGTGTTTCTTATTTTCACAGCACACAGAATGGACAGAATGCTAAAGGAGAGAATAGCAAAGCTTTAATAACTCCAAGACTTCTCTCTGTAGGGCTTCCTATTTCTTCCTTCGCTCCACAGACAAAATATGTATAATAAACAATTCAGGCAAGCAAGAGAAGACAGGCTTCTTGACTGACCAAATGAACGACATCAGTATGTGTCTAACGACTATCATACCCACTATGATTTATCTATATACTTGCAAGCATAAAACTGTGAAACAGAAAGAGTGTTGACCACAAAAAGTTTACTCAATTTTCAATTTTTATCTTAATCTCCCTGCTTTGAAACTCTGTAAGAGAAACTTCAATTCTCATAACCATCATGAGAACTTAGTGCTTCACAATAGCAAAGGAAACTACACCKAGGACAATGCAGGAATATCAAAGCAGAAGTTGAGCTATTCGCTTTTATTCAGCAATGCAGTAGGCTGCATTCCACACACCTGTGCTCAGCTACCTAGTCTCATCCACAACATAAAATCTGAAGAGCCTCCCAATAGAAGAGATTTCCGGCAGACAAACAAGGTTTGAAGCCAACCAGAAGCTACTGCCAGGCCACCAGCAGTGTTTCCAGCCGTGGACATTCATTACGTGACCTCAGGTGAGACACATGCACATAACTCAAATTTGGTAGAGCCAAATAAAGGTTACACAGCCTCCCTCAACCTTCACGTCTACCACCTGGTTTAGATGAATACACAGGGAGGCCAAAGCAGAAAGGTTTGTTGTTTTACAATCCTCCTCTTCTACAAAGATACTCAAATAGGAAAGAGATGAAAGGGAAGAGGACCTGCCTGAACTCACAGATAGAAAAATTTGAGGAGTGTTTCTACATAAAGAAGTTGGCAATTTAAACAACTCAAAAAGGAAGACAGAACTATTTTAGCAGGTAAAAGGGTTTTTAACGTGTTTCGTTTCTTTTTTGGCTGCAAATCTAGTACTTTAGTAGTATTCATGCATAAACCACACTAAGCAATTGTCATTTAAACAGAGTCTGTTCTATTAAAATCAAAGGACAATACCCAGAATTGTAAACAGAGACAATCTTGAGGTTTATATTTTAAATGGTGTTCCTAACCTGCTTTATTTGTACACAGAGATTACCAACTAAGTTTTACCATTGCATAGAGAAATTTCATTTGAAATTCAATCAAATTAAGTTCTGGGAAATGACTACACAAAAGAATTTACTTTTACTATATATATTTTTTAAAAATCCTTCTTACCTATACTGCGAAAATGCCATCGATAAAAAATCCTCTCAGGTAGCAGCTGCAATATTTTCTGCCGAAAGCAAAACCACACAGTCAACATCTCCATACTGAAGTGGCTCACTCAGAGGATACCAAGTAAAACACAACACATAGTGAGATACATCAAGTACAGAAGATGGCAAATATCATAACAAGATTTCTACCTATCATTTTATTTTCTTGCTATAGGGAAAGATACCATGACACAGTCATGAAACCATCCCTTTCCCAGAGTCTTGGATGGCCTTACTATTTCGTAACATAAATTGATTTCTGATTAAGTTAAAAATAAAACTTCTTCCCAAGAAACTCACTTTGAGTTGTGTTTTTTTCTGGAGTATCTGGTAGTGACTGTATTAGATCAACACAGGGCAGCTTTTGAGCTTCAATATTTGAGTTTTTGGTTTCCTTGCACAAGCAAATGGAAGCAGCTCTCCCCACTAAGGCCAAGGGGAACAGACCTTTCTGTGTAGCTCTCACAGAACAGGGAGCAGAGAACTTCTCAGCCAGCAAGATGCGAGTTTTAAGCAACCACATTTAAATGAGAAACTGTTTTTACCATCTAGCTCTGAAAATCAAGTTGTTCAATTTGAACGATGTTGTACACGGAAGACAATCGCCCCATTTTGTTACCGAACAGAACCTCTGCACTACATTTCCAAGCTTTCCGACAGCAGGAGGGTCAGAGAGGGGAAGGTAAGCACAGGCCTGTGGCAGCGCCACTCCCTGAGGCGCGGAGCTGAGGGAAGCGAGGGGAGCTGCGCAGGGGCCGYGCTCTGCGGGGCTCCCCGCAGGCGCTGACAGCCCACCGCCACACAACAGCTTCCTGGCGGGAACCACGGCAGCCGCAGCGCCCGTGACAGGGGCARCCGCTCACCCTGTATGAGCCTGGCTTAAACGTCACTCATTATAACCCAACGGGACCACTAGCCACCTACCACCACCTCCTACCCAGTGGGCCCTCCTTCCGACCTTTTCAAGCCCCCAAAACAGCTGAAATAGAAACTCAGCTCTTCTTGCAATTTATCTGAGGTAATCTTCTGCATTCACAATTCTTTGGATACAGCAACCTTTGGATGCAGGTTTTGGATACACGCTTTTTAACTTATGTCATTTCTCAAGCCTTTCGCTCTTTCAGCACCCCAAAAAGGATGCAAATGTGTATGCTTCATGTATATGGATGCATATCTGTATTTTGAAAAACTGTAATCACCTCTATAATAGCACCAAATCTTAAAGTGAAGTCATTTTAAAAATCACATTAGGTATTAGCATCACAGCAACTACTGAAGATATTTCAAAGCTCTACAAAGTACCAGAAAAAAATATTAATAATCTAAGCTCAGAGTGCACATTTGCTCTCACAATGCCAAAAGATGTCATCAGGCTTAAATGTCTGTACTATTAAATGGCAATTTGTGGATGTTACAAGTAAATTAAGAGTTAAGGCCACAATGCCTTTTTAATTAGTATTTTTTATATGTGCACATTAGAACCCCAAAACCAAGAGAGTGTTATAGTGTGAAAAGAGCGGGTTGTTGTTCTTTCACCTAGGTTATTTCCAAGAACCCATTTGTTCCCTCTCTCAACCCGGGCCGATTAAGAAAAATTGCTCTTCCTATAAAACAAATGATAGTTTCTTCCACTCCAGCATCAATTTTTAGCAATACCACTGTGAATCCCAAACTGGCTATTGACATTTTGTTTGTACTTTTGCAGTACACTAATATGAAATATTTTAAGAAACCCCACAGTGCAAAATAGTATTGCTTTTTCAGAAAAACACATAGATCTATTTAATGCTTAGTGCTTTGCTGCATCTATATGGTAATCCATTATAGCACACTTGAAATAGAAATTAGGTATTACTACTGATCAACACATCAGGGTATCTGTCAGTTCTTTTAACTGATTATCCATAGTTCTTTTTCTTCTGAACTTACTGCATGACTAGGAATAATGTTAAGTTTAAATCTTAGTTTACASAGGATGTAGCTTTTTGAAAGATATATTTCTCTATTTTATCAAAGTAAAATAAGAAAGGCTAGGGCCTGCATTTCAACAGATTCACTCCGACTTAACTGATACAGCAATTTCTTGTAGAGAGGCTTTTATCTGCACCAGCTCAGTTGAATCAGATTGTGATCGGTAACCTTCCACCTATTGTATTACACACTGTACCATCTTAAAACATGAAGAAAAAACAGTGTAAGGTTTTATAACTACCTTAAGACACTAGATCCAGAATGTTTTCCAGGCTAATTTGCACAAAGACCAAATGAGAAGCACTGTTGTTCTGCCTGTCATGCTTGGAAAGAGCAAYAGGCGCCTGGCTCACAACACAGAAAGATCCAGTTTGTGTTGGGTGCTTGCGAGCGCACAGGTCAACGACAGGTTCACAGCACTGAGTCCTGCCGGGGGGATGCATTCCCAGAAAACAAGAAAACTGTGATTTTGATGCAATCTGTACATGACAAGAAGCTCCTGTTAGTCAGCCGGCTGGGGGACATGCCTTATGCCAGGGGAAAGATGGAGCAGCCCTCCCTCCTATGCCCTGGTGTCCAAGTCCTGTCTACCCAGACACCTGCACAAGAGGTTCACAAGGTTAGTTTAGTAAGGTCTGCAGAGTATCAGAAATCTTCTGCCATTCCCCACCAATTTAGGTCAAGACTCAACGACGTGAGCATGCCCGCAGCAGAGCGATCGAAATAAAGGGCATTTACTTGCTGCACCAATAAACTATTTATAGTCRTTTGTCAACAGAAAAAAAAGTCTGCTCAAAACGTGTAAACTATTTTTTCTTCGCCCAGAAGGCAAASAGCTTGATTTCTGAAGCAGAATACAAGCAACACACAGTTATAACTTGCAACTGAATATTGCAAGGAGAACTGTTATTTTGAGAGAGGTAACAGATAAACCAACCTGAATTATGGCAGCATAAACTAGAGATGATTCAAAAACACATTTTCTATGGTGTTGGAAAGAAAAACCCTTTAAGCAGTTTTATTTTTTGCAAATCAACTCCTTTTACTCCATCAACCTAGTCTGTGTGATTGTAACAGGCACTGGGCACCAACTGAAAAGCCTCAAATGAAGCCCAAAGCCGCATGTAAAGCTGAAACTGGGAACAGCAGCAGGATCTCAAGTTTAAGATCACCTTAGAGAGGGAAATAAAGGCATCCTGTATGTACAGACGTACACAGAGCAACAGGAAAAGTATGTTCAATAAAATGATGCCCTCAAAGGCAAAACTAGGACCTGTGACAAAAAAAAAAAATTCATTTTGAATTTTCCTGGTAAAGAAATTTGCAGGTAGTTTTTACATTGTCCAGCATCACTATGCAGTTCCATTTTGCAGAATTTTACTCACTTATTAAAATCAAAATGCAGCAAAGTAATAGGCAGCAACATAACAAAGCAAGCAAAACAAGCAAACCTCCCTAAGAAAATGCTACAGATTAAAACTGATAACGTTATTAGAAAGCAGTAACAACTTCATAGGCTTCAGATATGACAAGTCCATCCTTTGCACAACCTAGCAGCAGGAAGCACAGCTCTCAGGCCTWCCCCAAAGTTATGTCTGAGAAGCCACAGGAAGTTTCCCTGATGCAGATTTTTATGCAATCAAAGTGAACTTTAATAAAGAAAACCACAATTAGCCTTAAGACTTCTGCTTAAAGCTACTTCAACTTTGCTAATTCATGAAGTGGTATTTATAACGGGGAACTATAATGCAACAGAGGAGTTCCATATATTTAAAATAGTCACAGCATAGTGGCTTAGTCCAGAGTAAACCAAAGTTTTGTGGTTTTGACTGACACTTATGTGCATTACTATGCAGTGCTGAAAGGAGGGTACAAGTCTGCAGGTGCCAAACGGTGAAACAGAAGCTTTTCATGCTGTTTTGGCCTGTTAGGTAAAACTGGGGGAGACATAATAATGTTTTTCATTATAATATGATAATATTATGATATAAAATATTATAAACATCATTATAATGTTTATAATGATAATGCAGGGATTGTGTCATTTCATGCACTTCTATTTGGGAAGAGGCAAGGCCATATCATTATTTAGAATATAAAACTGAGATCTCCCTAATCTTAAGTATAAAAAACACTTTTCCAAAATGATCTAACATTAACATTTCATATTAGCCTCTTGATTAATAAGCCTTTGTTGATTATAGCATTTGGTACTAAGAGCAGCTAGGCAAAGTTACTGATACAAAAAAATAAGATTTTAATAAAAAGGAGGGGCACTGCCAAGSCAACTTAGCTTTGAGAGCACTTGTGGAAGGGTAGGTTACTCATGTCAAATACACACTAGGTGTCACTCTAGAACAGCAGCCAAAAAACCCAACTGCTGGGAAAGGCAGTCATGTAAAGTGTTTTCTTAAGTATTTTTATTGATTCTTAAACAGTTAACCCTCAGCACCTGGATTCAGGATGTGTTAATCCAAAGTAATTACCTACTTATCTAATTAGAAGAAACCTCTAGGAAACCTGTTTCACACTGACAACCAATTAAATATGTCAAGTTTAATCAAGCAGGTTTGTTTCCTATGGCTTACAACATGAATGTTTAATTAYTTGGCATTTATGTTTTCTCCTGTCCTATGCTCAAACCCAACTGTTGTCTGCCAGTGCTTGAGGGGTCCTCTAAAGTGTCTCCCTCCTACAGTGCATTAAGTTATCAGGTGTTAGAAATATAAACAGATTGTCAATTTACCTCTAGTAGACAAATACCATAAAGCAGATCGCTCCACATCTCACACCAATGTCTTGATTACTTTACTTATTGTGTAATCTCAGAGGTTATGGAACAACTCTTCAAGGTCTGTATTGCAATAGGTTTTGTCTGTGTGCTCTAATTTCTGTGAGCCTTCAAAGCTCTTGCTACTCTTTAACAATCTTAACATGTTCCCTCCATAAAATATTGAAATTCAAGTTTAAAAATCTTAATTCAACAGAACACAAGTGCATTGRTATAGCCAGGATTTGCAGTGACACTTAAGAACACTAAGGTTATTGAATTGGGACTGAAATGACACAGTGTTCATACATAACTATGCATTTTTCCCCTTCACACATTATATTCTCCTCATGTTACAATAGTAAACAAAAAATTACCCACAGATTGAATAAACTGTAACTGTTTTCCACTCAAGAACAGAGYCAAAGAAGTTTAATTTCTTCTTCAAGACCCCAGACTAAGTTACTTGTAAAATCCACTTCACCGGTCAGTGGATAAGGTGGTACCTTCTCCATTTGGTGGTGTGGCAGGGGGAAGAAGCAGCATTTCTCTGGCTGCCAGCACAGACTGAGTGGATATACTAGTTAACATAACTTGGTACTGCCTCATGTAAAAATCCTAATATAGGCTTTTTTTAAACTAATATTAYAAGCAACAGAAAACCCGATTTTCTGATTTTTAGATTTCTATTTGAGAGGGCAGTTGTATAGCTTAAGAAGGGAAAGAAGACAAAATGAAAYGTAAAGAGCATAAAAGTCAGATGAGACTGCAAAGAAAAAGAGATTTTGTGTCATCATTTTCCTGACTACTCTTCTTGCTATAGGTATGTTAGGCTAAATAGCATYATTTCAGTAGTCATAATGATCTCTATACTGACAGTAAGGTACATTTTAATGCAAAAATGAAGCACAGTTCTGTGTTTTGATTTCTTTACAAGGGAAGAAATACAGGAGTTGAGAACAATGTTTACAATTCAGTTTAATTTCAATTTCTAGCGTATCACTGAAAGTTTTGTGAGTTTTTTTTTTTTTTTGCTTCATAACAGCTCTTAGGAAAACAACTCACAGTATAAACAAAGTTGGCACTGCGACAATTGAAAAATGACTATTTTTCAATAGTCATTTTGGTATCAAATATTTTGGTATTGGGGTATCAAAGAAATCAACAAAAGAGGTGTACGCTCACCTATGGCAGGGTAGGGATAAATCAGGCTAATTGTGCACCTAATAATTGTTAAAAAAACATCTGGTAAAGAAGTTAGAAGTGATCTGACAGAAGAACAAACTACAAACAAGACATGGTATAAACATCTGTTACAGAAGACTGGGCAAGAGATTAACTAAGCCAGCACTGAAAGAAATATGCAGATGACCAGATCCCTCTTACTAGCACAGCCTCTAGCACCTCCTATCACCAGACTTTTAAGCCCAAACCTTCCACCTCCTATCACCAGACTTTTAAGCCCAAACCTTCCTTATACCAAAAGCTTTTGCACATGCAGAAGTTGTAGAAAAGCTGCAACAGCTAGAGAAGGCACTTGCCACTCTGGTAAACCTTGCATGCTTAGAGCAGAATTTCACATTTCCTTGTAGAAGCAGTGACAGCTTCAGAACAATGCAGTATTTTCCTTTATATCACACACAGAAAGAACCATGGTCACATCCCAGTTAATATGGAACTAGTAAAATAAATATGGACTTCAAAAAATATAAAGGAAAAAGGTTAAATCTTGAAGTACAGCTTATTCTGCTACCAAGTCTAACTAGCAATTAGTATTTTGAATTTTAATCTGCATTTTATCATCATAGACATGACTTGCAGATGACTTTGCAAATATACAGACGTAACTCAGGGAGATTAACTTGAGTTACAGGAGGTGACATAAGTGTTTTTAAATAGCTGCTGCTGCTGAAGAGCCATACCTTCTTACCAAGGAACAACCTACCTTCTTTAAAGTTCTGAAGGACTCTTGGTTCACTCCTTTCAAAATTTGAAGTATCAACTGGCTGTGTGAACTAAATTTTCTCTCACATATTACAAGCTACCACCACATKGAGTTCATTCAGTACTTAATAAACTTTTTAAAAGAACAACAAAATGAAATGACTTGTAATATATCCAAAAGTGAAGTACCACTTATATCCTGAATAGAATCCCAGTCAAGATCCACAAGGGTAACTACAATAGGCACACATGTAAAAAATTTTTGATCCAATAGAGTGAGATTTTCAGTTAACTTTTATTTAAATTTATCAGGAAGTCTCAATGGCTCAAAGCCTTTTTTTCCTCCCTTTTTTGATATTGTTTTTTTAAATGAATTTAAGATTTCAGTTGGAGAGAACAAATTAAAAAAATAGAATTTATACAAAAATGACAGGGTTCCTAGACAGATTTCAAACAACACTGCAAGCTAGATTAGTTAGTCTGATAAAAATCTTGTAACTCTGGATATTCACTTAAGCCAGACATTCTCAAGGCATAAGGAAAAATTTATTGTTTTATGCATCTGAAAACTTAATACAGACCATAGCTCTTGACTGCCTTCCACTTCCACATTCATGGACACCTACTGCAATTTGATAGACAAAACTTTTCCCCCCTCATTGTAAAGGTGTAAACACACAATGACAGATTTAAAAATCAGATTTAGTTCTACGGTATAGGCAACTTACTTCAAAAAGAAAGAGAATGGAGTCCAGCTCCTCCCTTTGTGATTTATTCCCTGCAAGACAAAATAGGCTGCCATAAATAAATGGTTTGATAAGACAAAAAAGCTCTACTTGCCTTGTTCTACTAATGTCATGGATGTTTTGCTCAGTTCATTATTCTTCAACTTTCTCKCATGTCAAGTGGAGTAAGATGCTGTATTTCCAGCATGCCCTTCAATTAAAGGGGACCATTCTGAGTCCCCAAACTGCAAAGTATCATCATTGTGGCATCTTCAAACAGGGGTGGTACAAACACACAGAATGTGAATTCTATGCCGAAGTGAYAGCTAAGGCCATAAACATCTACCATATATTTAAAACCTTTTAATTACCTATTACAGTTGAAGCCCATAATTTTCCACACTTGTTTCTTATCACGACAAAGTAAAGATRGTTACTAATATCAACCTGCGTGAAACTCTAAATACACATAATTGCAGATTATTTACTCATTAGATAACAGAATGCTTTTGACAGCAGTTGTGAAAAACAATTGCACAAGATTTCCAGCAAAAACCTAGAACCTACCTTTTTGTTTCAAGCTATTTTCCAGTGTTATGAAGTTCTCATAGAAGATAAAGTAAATTTGAGAGTAATTACTCTCAAAAAATTGCTTCAGGTCACTTCCATCTACAATATCTGAGAAAAAAAAAACTGAGTTATTATACAACACCAAAACCCAAACTTATTTTCCAAGTGGCAATTTAATATGACAAAAAAGTGCAATGGGAAAAAAAGTGATTAACAAAGTGGTCATATATCACCTCTCTGGAAATTCTTAATCTCATAGAAACATTTTTGTTAAGATTGTCTGTTACTGAARGAATTCTGCAGTTCTCTGAACACAGATGCATGCATTATTACACCAAACTTAATGCTTTTTGCTAAGCACACATTTCTCAAGATTCTCTCTGACCTGAACTGTAGAGCAGAAGAATTTAACTTGTGCACAGCACAGGCACTACTATGGCTTAGCCTGAGAGTAGTTCACCTGACAGCTGAGGCAGTAGGAACTCCAGGGAAAGGGGAGTTTGCCCAGTAGCAGAGGCAGCTGTTTGTGTGGGTTGCTGCAGCTTTCAGATCCCTCTCTGGTCATACTACAATTTGGCAAGCTTATTCTCTGCTTTACTTGCAAGTTAGCATTTATATCATATAATAAACAGTTTGAAGAATAAAGGTGACTTTAATAAAGTTAAAAATCAAGTAACAAGAGCCCTCGGAGATGACTTTGGGCTATTTCAGATCTAGTTAAATGGCTAAGACACTATACAGAAAGCGCTACTACCTCACCTTACTAGCACTATAGTCTTATACACTATAGTCTTACTCACTTGATTGTAGTTTTCCGGCTGCTCAGCTGTCCATTTGGATGGACACATCCTAGAGGGTTTTTTTTTTTTCCTCCCCTCTAGTTCTGCAACTTTCCCCTTGTTAAGCACCAACTTCAAAAGACTGTCCTGCACACTAAGCTCCTTCAACTCCTTTCTCAGCTGAGAAGGTGGGTTCTTCAAGCTGAGACAGATGTGACACTACAGTATCACTGATAGTACTTTAACAGCTGCTTTGGTTTCTTCAGCAGAGGAAAAAAACTAGGAGGTATACAAGGTACAGGAGAAATATTTTTATAATAATGATRGAGTAGTGTTTTCTGCTCTTCATTCTAAGAAGAAATGAAATGCATGAAAGGTAAGAATGAAGGCATGAAAAGAAAAAACAAAGAATAAAGACATGGAAAGAAAAAAACACRAGTCTTTGCTCTATGAAAATGAAGAATTTCCATCTTCAGAACGTATTGTTAATAGTAAGAACTGTATTACTTAAGAGTCAGTCATTTTTACCATTTAATATTTTTACCCAAGATATATGTGAAACTGGATAGGAGGTCAAGTTTTAGTTATCAAAAACAGTATCACAGAACTATTTATCAGATAAATAAAACTACTGGGAACAAACCGAATCAGTCAAAAGTAACTAAGAAAATGTCTTGAATGCAAATCCATTATTTTTAATAGACAGCTTTTTTCATCTTTTGAAAAAAAAAGTCAAGAAATCCTTTTCAAAAACAGATACAGTATCTTTTAATTTTTACAAAAAACACTATAYACCATCTTCCCAAAATTAAAAGCACACACAATAAACTTTGAGAGTTTTTTTTTTAAATCAGAAGTGTGCTGGAAAAAGAAAAAAGAAGCTTATTTAGGAAAATATTCTACACAATAGCTTTCGGTGACAGTTGTGTAAACTAATGACGTTGTTTCCATATTATCAAGCCACAAGCACTTAAATTCATTAAGAACCACCACAGACAGCCCCTCCAGCTGCAGTTTATACATGTGAACTGCAAATCCAGCTATGTTTAACCGGACAGAGAGATTATGAAAAAAAGTATATTTTCAGTCCATTTTAAGAACTCTCTAGGCTTCCCAAGGCATTAAGCTATCCTGCAATACTAAAAACCTTACATATGCAAATGTAACATTCGCAAAACATACTTTAATTTTGTTTGTTCCTTATCATAATTGTTTTTGTCATGAAGTGGCATATTTGGAGGATTCCACCCAGCAATAAAAGGATAAAGGGCAAGAATTATCAACAACATTTCTTTCTATTGAAGTTTCACTTCTCAAGGAATTCATTCATTAATCAAGATTATTACGCTGATTATAGCAAGACCACTCAATAACATCCTATCACTCTAGAACRAAGAATGAAATTAGTTGAAGACTATGCTTTTAAAAAAATAATAATTAATACCTATTTAGTAGCAAGGCTTTGTTTGTTTGCTTGTATTATGCAAACAATTGGCCCTTGGAAACTGTTCTACATGGTATTGGCTTCATTGCTGGTCTTGAATTTGCAAGCTATGTGTAATTACTCTAATTATTCCTCTCTGAATGTCCTCTATTAAGACGACCACTAGGGGAAAACAAGGCTTTCATTTAGAAAGATTTCATATGAAAGGATGAGGTCATGAAAAGCAAAAGGAAAAGGAAACTTCCTTTTAAACTGCAAAAGGAGGAGAAAGGAACTGCCTAATCAGAAAAGTAAATTCTCCTTTACTTAAAAAAGTGTTATTTTGGGACAAACATGCATTCTTACACAYGCATCATTTCACTATTAAGCTATTTTGTTCCTTATACAGTTTGCATGGTAGAAAAAAACAGCTCATAACCCTAAATGGCAAAATGGCCAAAAAMAACACTCCTATTGACCGAACTGGAAAAGTTATCAGTACTGCAAGTCAGACTTCCTTGCAATTCTGCATGCAAGGCACAATCAATGACTCTGCYATTCAGTTAGAGCACCCTTGGGCATTTCATTATCGATTTTCTGACTTTTTGTGTATGGTGTGAAATTTCTCTCCTCCTATGTAACCTATTTGTTCACAATGACAACACAGAGAAAGCATCACAGATAACGCACCACTCTACTTCAGCCAGTACAGGCAAGATGGACAAGATCTTTGTCTGCTAAGCTCATCTCCGGATGGTAGGAGAACACGCAAAGCTGCTGCTGAGGCCCTATCCAACAGCCTCTCTCCTCCATTAGAGAAGAGAGGTTGTAAGGAAGGCATCTTTAGATCAGCAACACCAAATAAAGCACATCCCCATTTTGCAAGCTTGTTTCATGTTCCCTTTAGTAGGTTCTGCCCATGGTGTTGCTCAACTTGTTCTACCTATTTCACAGAAAATAGGTATCACAAACAGAAAAGATGACAAGAAAGACTTCTCCTCAAGAAGACTTATTAAAAGTTGCCAGAGAGCTTAAAGCTGTTACTTGAATCCCTCTCAAATGTATTTGACTAACAAAACAGGTCCTCTCTTCTGTTCTTCAAACAGAAGACATAGTGAAAGTTTCATTCACTCTTTATCACTTAATGTAGTGAGCTAAGATACTAGTTTTAGCAAATCAAATTGACTAAAACAATTTATAAGTGTTCTAGGAAATTCAACAGCCAGTTCAGGATTGAATTACAGGTACTAGATACTTATATAACTGATACGTAACTCCCAGATTACTGCTGCTGAAAAGCAATCATTTTGTGAATTAGAACTCTGAACACTTAAACCTAAAGCAAGACAAAATATTTTATAAAGTCATCAGATACTTAATGGCTTTCCAAAAAATAGATGCTTTCTAGCACCATTCTCCAACAAGGATAATGGATCATATGGCTCATGCTTCTAACTGATACTTCTACAGTGTTTATGGCAACACAAAGGACATAGTGAGACATTCACAAGGAGAGACAAAACTTTTATTTAAAATATTAAAAGATGGGTGGTTACATGACAGAAAACAACCTCTCCTCACCTAGTATTTCCTTTTAAGGTTTAGTTAAACGAATCACTTGGGTGCTGCTTTATAAAAATCTGAGTATATTCTAAGTTCCCACTGCTCTTTCTCATAGAAGTAAGACATTAGAGAAGGCATGTTAGAGAGAAGGCATTAAGGAAAGGGGGGGGGGGGAAGGTGGGCTTAGCTCATGAGTGCTCCTTTGTTTTTCTATCAACTGCCACATGTTATTGCATTTTTATGCAAATAGAAATCCTAATTCCATGAACTTTCAAAGTTACTTTGTTTTGCTATTTATATTTAGCTTTAACAATTGAGAGACTTCTTGTATAAATTAAGGCAGATAAGAATTTGACGTCACACCCCAGTGAATGACAAACTTACTACTAGCCTCACCCTAGAGGCTATAAAAAGGCCCAGAAGCTATTAAAAAAAGGCCATAAAAGTCCAAAAGAAATTCCCTTTGTTTTTTAAAAGAAATTTCCATGCAGCAAGGTAATACACTTAGGAAAAATACACTTAGGAAACATCCACAATATAATTTTTAATGATATTAACATCGAGTTTTACAGAATGCATACAATAAATGCTTTTCTAAATGCAGAAAAATAGAAGCATTCACTTTTGAGAGTTTCTAAAAATTATCAAACTTAATTAGAAACTTCATTAAACTTAACTTTATTTAGTTATCTGTAAAACTACAGAGCTGCAAAGCATAGAGCTATGATTAAAAAATAATAATTAGTAACAATGACATAACACCAAGCTCATCCCATTTTTGGGGATTAAAACAAAGTATTATGTGGTATCTCATCTAATTGTATTAGAGAGTAAAGAGCAATAACATCCAAATTATTGGTAAATCATATCATGATTTTTTCATAGCACCTTCACTGAAAGACAAATTTCAATAAAGAGGATATTTCTCACTGTGAGAGAGGAACTTTCACATCACCCCCACTATTTATTAAACCACTATTTACATCTACCCATAAAAGAGTCCATACTATTCAAGTTTCCAGACATTGTATTGGAAAAAATGTTACGTTTACATACCATGAGTTCTGAGAATCAGCATGTTTTTCTACGAGTGGAAAAATATACATATATATTTTGTCTRTTTTTAAAATGAATTCTAATTTGTGTTGGATAAGTTAAAAAGGTTATCTTTTATTCTCAAAGACTCTAGTTATATTCTGTGCTGTCCTTCAGGCTGTCAACTGCACCAATATGATAGAGGTCATCAGAAAGAAAGCATCTTATCAGCTCAGCATTCAGTAGCCTGATCACATCTCTGAAAGGACTCTAGTGACCAGAGAGATATAGTAAATAAAAAAAACGTAGTCCTGTTTTGGATAGGTAAGACCAACTTGCACAGAGAATAGAACTGAAATTACCAAAACAGGTTTCTTTGATCCCACAACTCTTTAATACACATCCCTTGCAAAAGCTTCCTATTTCCCCGATTATCTTTGCTTGTATTTTATGTTCCTATATCAACAGGCTCTTTTATGCTCATTTAAAGCTAACAAAAGAAGGAAAAAAAGGAATTATCTTAAGAAAAATGTAAAGCAAGCAAAAGCATTTTGAGAACACTTAGCATTAGAGCTTAAGTGAAGGAGTCTGGGGCAGGGAATGATATAACCCGGTGAAGATTTAATTAAATTACTGACTTTTAATCTACAAAAAAATTCTAAAACCTTATCTTATAAATAATTACTTCCCCAAATAATTTAAAAGTTCAAATTATATTTGCAGCACATGAGTACATGAACAGTAATACATATACCATTAATGACACATTATTTTTTTCCTCCCATATGAATCTGGTGAGTCTCCAAATTCTTGCCAAGATCTTCCCTATTACCTCATGTACAAGCCTTCTTGGACATCACCACTATGCTCACTCATCAAGACGACTCTGAGGCCAAATTATGAAGGTTGAGGTAACTGGGGTTGGGCATTTCAATTTTAAATGTATTTTGCTACTCACTGAAAGGATTATTATMATCTGGCCAGTTTGAGACCATGATACAACTGGGTAGCTCCCCACTTATCCTTCCAGTACTTTACCCACACAAATTTCTTTTCGGAATTAGCCAGTTAAAGAAACTAGGTAACAGGAATATTGTGCTTAAATCAGAGAGATATTTACTAAAACCCATTAAAAACACTTTTTTCAAAAAAAGAGGGAGTAAAATTATAAGTAAATAAATTAGAATAAATTAGCAATAATCTAAGCTATTAAAGATCCATCTACCAGGTAGTTTCCATGCTTTCTCCGAGCACCACTTCTTCAAAAGGACTATCCTGACAAAACTGCCTTTTTCTCATTCATGATCAGATGCAGTCTCTTTCAGTACACACAAAAAGAAATTTTCTCACATTGCTGCAGCAATTTCAAACCTTCTGTGTAACTTTTTGCCTCTCAATGGAAAGTTACAAGGAAAATGTTCTTAATCTCAAGCACAATCTGAAGCACCACTAACGAGTCAATACTTCAGACTACCAATGAGGTTCTTCAGGTAGCAAATCTTGAAATCTGATCACACTGAAGACTGCAAAGAGGATCTTTGTTCTTTAAACTTGTTCCAGAGCAATAGTCCTGTCTTCACACAGCTTTACGAGAGAGGAGAGCAAAAACACACACCCTAGTTCAAGCAGAGCTACACAAGATGCTGACTGACCAAAGAGTTGCTCCTGAGCACAATATGCAGTGGCCAAATTCTGCATTTCTTTCTCTTAATAAATTACTAATGTAGGACTCTCTCCCTAACAACAAAAAAATCTTTGAGATTCCTGTATATAAACCAAACAACTGAAATGAGTCAGCAGATTTTCAAAGTTACTAGAACATGAAGTTACAGACATCATTTCTCCTCCTTGTTTCTCAGGAATCTATCTTAAGTGAAGTTACTAAATACTAATATTTTCATCGACTCTCCTAAACAGGGACTTGTGCAGAAGGATTCTTAAGAAACTTGCCATTTACTAACAGCAGGACATAAGGCCGCTCAAATCCTTCCAACTGTAGTGTACAGCTAAAAACGTGTTAACTGGCTCAAATATTAATTTTAATAAAAAAAGATATTTTCTACTCTAAGTGTACTTTATGGAAAAAAAAGCCTCAGCCTCACCCCTGAAAAGGCTAAAACACCACAAAAGTAATCCCTTCTGAAGTTATAAAAAGATCTCTTAATATTAAGTGTTGTCAATACCAGCAGATTAATCTTTGCAGGAACACTGCAGGAAGTATATTTTTATACTGTTCTCCCAAAAACATCACAAATACTTGACATTGACTGATATAAGTTTCCAAAACCAGGCACAGCAAAGTATACCATTAATGTTTCACTAATTGTTCCCATAGTTTTGCATTCACTAGGGAAAAAAAACTAATAATAATTCTGGGGTTAATTACAGGCTTTTGAAATGGCAAGAAAAAGTGCTACTTATTCATTGTATTTATCTAGAACTCACCGATATTAACTTGATAGCAAARGCTTCTGCACAAACTGAAAAATAATTTACCAGGAGCTTCAATTGAGCACTTCATTGGGCAGCTCTAAGGGTGTTCTTGCTGTCGTCACCCGTGGCAGCTCTACAGGCACTAAGATTGCCTTCCTGTGTCAGATCGTGCTTTCGTTTTGAGGTACAATCCTACCCAGAGGCAGGGAAGTACTAAGAGGACATCCAGTGATGGGTGCATTCGGGCTGGTTCTCAATCTATGACTTTCACACTATTTCAAGTGAAGTTGATACCTACATGCAATGGTCTGTATGGAAAATATGAATCCTACTATACGTACTTCACCAGCATTCATGGATTTGAAAAGGGATCTTAGTCTAGTAATCCATCCTAGCTCAATCATTTGTATTTTTCCTGCTTGTTTACATACAGAAGACATTTTATARCTAACATATCTTCAAACCTCCTCTCCTTTCAGAATAACTTCCAATTTCTTTGAGCACCAGGCTTTCCAAGGCTAAATAACCAGGATGTTGTCACATACATATATAAACAAGCATTACTGTTAGAGAAATAAAGGACCTCAAATCTCTTTCTGCACATGCTAAAACGCTATTGACTTACCAAGCATACTTATGTGCTTATTTCCTAACATAGCCCCAAAATAAATACCTTCTGTTACAAAGCAAACAAACAMAAGTTCTTAAAACTGTTTGACACCAATATGTTGGTCTACTTCTAAGGAAAATTCTTAGGCTATCTGATCATAAACAATTACAACCACCTTCCTATTAACTACAGAGTAGAAGCTACTCCCAGAACACCTCCATGACATACCCTTGTCCAAAAAATAGAGCAGCTCTGCCTCAAAGAATTCTACCAAAATGAAAACTAAACGTATCTAAATGCCCACAGCTTTGAGGTTTGGACAATTTGCTGTGATTAAGTTTCTGTTTATTCTTCTGAGCAATATTAGGGTGTGGTCTTTTAAAATTTGAGTTTTCACTTTAATTTACAAAATTCAAGCACATAACTTCAGGGTGTATTTTACCTATTAAAGTCTCAAATACTTTATAATTACATCAACTCTTCACTTACTATTTAACATCCCTGAGAAASATGCTTAGCCAATACATTTAATGAACGCATAACAAAGGCCAAYGTAAACACCATCTTTTAAGACCTGYGCAAGTAAAGGTTAAATACCTTAAAGTAYTAAGGTATAAGTAAACCCTAAATAACTTGACAACCCAAAATCCAAAGAGCAGCTTAGGTRATTCTGTTAAATGATTTGTGCTGCTATGTCAACTTTACAATATCTGCACAAAAAATACTCAGTATTTAAAAAGGGATCATGAAATGCAGGAGAAATCACCCGATGACACAAATACTCCAGCAAAATCTATCTGGACTACAAAGTGCATAATTCACAAACACATTTTAAATCCAGGAGTTTTGTTTTGGAGATAAAAGCTAAAAAGATATAAATACAGCATGTCAATCTTACAGGAGCCTTGATGTCAGGGCTTTCATGGTTGAGTACCACATAGTATTACCCCAAGCTTGCTCTCTGTTAAACTCCACTTAAAACAGGTTGGCATGCTTCCTTTATTAAGCACATGAAGAGCATCTCAACTATCCACTTCTAAATGAGAATAAAATATTTATATGTCATTGCAGAGACTTGGTAAAATTTCCTGGCATAGCAAGAATGGCATAATCCATCTCACCTGAAGCTCTCAGGGGAAAGGCATTATTTGAGATAAAAAAAAAAAAAAAAAGCCTAATATATCCATTCTACACAGAAGTCACATCCTTTTAGCACAATTAAACAATAACAATATCAAAAAGGGTGTCTTTTAGAGGCAATAATCCTGAAGGCTCGTATCAAGACACATGAGGTAGGGAACAAAATGCTCCAGATGGGGCGGTCGGTGCTAACCAGGGGTCAGGGCCCTGCGCACATCCCGGGGGGGAGGTTTTTCCTCAGGCTGCAGCTCCCATCCACCAGCCGTTTTCCCGCAGGAAAACAGAAGTTGCTCCTGCTTCTTGCTCTGCTCCTGGTGGAACGGACCGCCCAGCCTCAGCGTGACCTTTTTGTTCGCGCGATGGAGAGCGGATAAAAGGTGGGAAAACGGAAAACGGTGAAGAGTTAAGCACAGAAGCGAGGGGGAAGGTATTTTGACACCCGCTCCCCGCCGCAGCCGACTCACCCAGGAGCGCCCTGAGGTGCTTGAGGCGGGTCAGCACGTCCTTCTTGGGATCCAGCGCCTTCTGCGTGGACTTCTTCACATCGGCGTGGCTTTTTCTGGAGAACATCCCGCGGCGGAGGTGGGCGAGGGGGAGACAGCGGCTCGGAGCGACCCCGCCGGCTCCCCCGCGGCCGAGGCGAGCGGAGCCGCGCGGCCGCGCCCGTTGCCGGCGTGGGGAAGGGGCGGAAGAGCCTCCCRGTGGCCGCGGGGAAAGGGGCGCGCGTGGAGCCGGGGAGGGCGGCCCAGCTCCGCGCTGCCGTCGCAGGGCGGGCGGTCGCGCAAACACGGAACCGAGCGGCGCCGCCGCCGCCCGGGCGGTTTAGAACCGCCGCCTGCCCGCCCGCGCCGCCGCACTGCGCAACCGCCGCCGCTGCCTCCCGGCCCGCCCGCCACGGGCGAAAACTACAACCCCCAGAGTGCAGCGCGCGCGCAMACAGCCCGGGGCGGGGCGCGGCTGCGCGGGGCATGCTGGGACTTGTAGGCCYTGCGGGAGGGGCTGCCAACCCACCACCTGCATCCCTCCAACCTGGCGGGCCATCGGTCTGACATGGCRGCTGCTCACAGCACCCTGAGGCAGGGTGGCAGGGGAAGGCGTCGGTGGGCTGCAGGGCATTGCTGACCTCCTCTGCTGTGCCATGACTTGTCTGTGGCTGCCCGTTGAAGGCCCGCGACCCTCTATGAATATGTATCTTTATAAGCAGAGCAGTAAAGGTACATAAAACTATCTTTATAAACAGAACAGTTGATGCGTGAGAGAATGCGCCATCCCTCACATCGCAGGCTGAGGGAGATGGTGATGCCCCTGTGAGGGACCCTTTTGGGCAAGCATGGACCAGGASCGCTCCCTCTCGTTTCTCATGCAAAAATACCCCTCACACCTTCTCACAAAAGGACAGACCTGCAAGGCCCAAATATTCACTGTTTCCTCCTTTATAGGTAGGTTGGGTGTTTCTGGAAAGCCAGCTGTGTGTCAGGGCATTGGGCGACCAGCAGCGGCTGGCCAGATCTCAAGGAAAGCCCYGGGTCAGATGGGGTAAGAATGGAGTGAAAGGTGCTTGTCCGGATGCTGGGAGGGCCATGTTGTGCTTGGAGCTGATTTATTGGAAAAATATGCATTTTTGGAACAACTGCTTGCACTATACGTAAACAATAAGCAGTGCTTTTACTCCTACAGTATATAGCAATGATAAAAAGACTTGGGGGGAGGGGTTGTAGTTCTTTGACCAAAACAGCTTTTTGTTCCAGAATTACAGTCCCAAAGGGTTTTGTTTGAAGTCTCAGGATCCTGTAAGGCAAACTCCTGGGCATAAAAGTTGATTTTAATAAATACCAAGGCAGGATGAGGGCCTGTGAAAGAAGATATTTCCATGTGAAGGAATTTTATTTCTATTTATTATTTTTTAAATGAAATTTATTGTAATTAATTCTTGTGTCTTTATGTAAATAGGTACTTTAGTGGTGAATTGTTTTTTTTTTTWAAATAAAAAGGGAGAGGGGCACAAAAATTACTATTGTTAGGACTGGAAAATATGTTACTATCACACGTTACTTCCTGTGGGCCCTCTCTGGGATCGTTTCTCCCATTAAGGTCTGTGGTCACCAGAGCAACAGATCCGCAGTGATCAGAGTGAGTTGTAAACATGTCCTGATAATGGGAGGACAGGCCCGGTCACCATGCCCGCAAACGTGCAGCCACTGACATGAAGGAAGGGATCTGCTTGCAGGAACAAGCCTGGTAAAACCAACAGGTAAATAAAACCAGCAGGTAAATAAGCCACTTTTGTGTGCGATAGGTTAAACTGATAAAGGAGACCTTGTGTGTTATGAAACTTCTTGATGTTTCTTCAACATCTGTGCTACAACTTCTGCACTACATTTTAGTATAGCGCAAGCCATCATCTATTTAAATTAATCTAAAAGCAAGTTCATAAAGCACCATAGGAGCTGAATGGAAAAGCTCTAAGATTTTTTATTATTATTTTATATTATTTGGAGTACATACTTTCACTGCAATCAAGCCAGTCTGGAACCACTTGATATCATTCAGCTTCCCCTGGAAAACAGTAAGGGCTTGTTCTTTCCCAGGAGCAATTAGGAACCTGCCTGATGTCCTGCCAGTTTCTCTTCCTTATTCTGAAACAGGTTGTCTTGTTGGACTAGCTCAGAATAAAGGATCTTAATGCTATATTCAGATATTCACTTTTTTTTTTTTTAACTTTATACAAATCTTGCATTTTTACCCTCTAGTGTCACCAAACCTTGTGATAGTCCTACTACTCCTTTGGATTCTGTTCCTGGAGTCATAGGAATAGTATTGACATGGAGCTTTCCTTTTTAAAAAAAAAACTGTTATACTTTTTGTTACAAAGAGAAGTTTGAAAGCATGACATCAGAATCAGAACATAAGAATGTATTATTTTCTAATAGCCTATTGTTTGGAGACTGCTTAAGGATTACAATAGTTCTTCTCATACCATTGTTGTACAGTGTTTCATGCTGGGAAAAGACACAAATCTTGAACAATTGTCCAAAATTATTTATCATATGTTGCAAATTGGGTATCTGAAGCTTCATAAGAAGAGTGAATTGGCTCATTCCAGCTTTTCTCTTTCAAAGCCACAAATCAATACATGCAGTTGGCAAGGGAAGCACATGGCTAAAATCTTGGCTTGCCATTTATTTATTTATTTATTTATTTATTTATTTATTTATTTATTTAGAATTAGAAAAACAGCAGTTTTTCAGATCTTTCAATTTGTCTGCTTTGTTAAGAAAATAGCACTGCTCTTGACTATAAAGTAGTTATGACTGTTAAACCATTCTAATGTGTACTGATTTTCCTGATAAGTAACTAAGGATTTTGATGCTTAGCACCTGACTGTGTAGCTTTAGGCATTCACTTTTTTCTAAACTTTACCAGAAACTTTTCTCTTGAAAAGCCCCGTAGAACACAGAACTTGAATTGCAGAGCTCTAGGAGGGCAGAGCTTTCTCTGCCTTGCTTGAACCTGGAAAATGTAGTTACATGAAGCACTCAGTGATTCAGCATAGCTTAATATTTGCATAATTAGAGTGTTTTTTAAAATTGTGTGCTTTAAACACCGTATTAAAGTTATTTGAGCTCAATTCTTGGACAGGAGTGAAGAAAATTTCTCTGTCACTGTGTGTAGATGGTAGGACAGTTAAGTCTTTGTTACATATTGTTACAGACTTTGCCTAGGAAATTCATATTTGGAGAGTGGAGGACTGACACTGGTGACTGACACTGGTGAGTAAAAACATATTTTTAATAACCTGCTGCAAGCAGCCAGTGAAGGTATGAAAACCACCCATTTGCTTTCAGGAGCACTGAAAAAACAAGTGAGGGCTTCATGGACCAAAATTCAACTCTGCTGCAATTCCAGTTAAAACATTAATATGCTTTCTGCTTAAATGAGAACAAAAATCTGATCATTGTATTGATAGTGGATCTTCTGAAGTAAGAAATGGAAAGACAGCTAAGGGGAAAAACCGCAGACATAATTCACTCATTTCCTATGAACAGAGATTTTGACCCACTTGACTGTGAGGCTAAAAGCTTTAAAGCTGCCAGAAGTTAAGACTTCTCCAAACAGAGTGCAATGAGAAACTCTTCACAGAACCTTAATCTTCTCATTTCCAGAGTGCCTATCTCTTAGAATTAGAGTTATTGAAAACTTTTTAAATACGGAGTTATTTTAAACATTTCAGACATTTTTCCCATTTATTTTTAATATATGTTGTCATTAACAGAAACACCACAACATGGGACTTCCCAAAAGTTACTGATAAACCTTATATGTTCTAACTCACATTTTCTTCTGCATGTTGTGCTATACAACATATGAACAATACATGATGTCTATAAACACATCATCATATGTTGACTAATCTTCATGGTATAAAATTCCTTTGTCTTTTGATAAGAACAAGCAGTCAGTTAAACAAAGAGATGAAAACCCATTTAACATTTTTTCTTCTGAATTTTAGGCAACCAAATACATCCAAATGAGTTTACACATTTAGGAACTCAAAACTATATGCAACTTAGCTTTAACCTATTACAAATATTTTGATTAGTTAAAACAAAATATATCTTCTTAAATTATTGATGTATGAAATAATGTAGTATAATACAAATATCTGTACATTTACAACAGTGATTTCAGCCTGTGTAGCAAAGTGCTGTGACTTGTGTTTTCTAACAGTACAACAGTTGCAGTTTCCCRGAAAATCAGATGATGCATTTCCAAAAGCTGATGCTTAAGGTAGAATAATTTCCTGAAAAAAGATTTTGTCATCCTGCTTTCAGGATCTGAAGTAAAAACTATTTAAAGCAGTCATCTAAGGAAGCAAGCAAAGAGACAAAGCCGCAGTCAGTTACAACAGAATTAAGATTGGAAATGTATGATGTGATATGTGAGGTGAGTTTATGAGCACAAATGCAACAGTGGTGTGAATGGATTAAATAGGCACTTAGATAAATGTCTTGTTTAATTAACTATCCCTTTCCATCCAGGTGTACATTCAGACAGTATGAGGAGCAGCACTCTCTCCTTTACTGGCTCCAGTGAATTAAGGTCAGCATTACATCAATACTGGGGAAATTTCTGGGAAGTTTTGGCATAGACAACASTCCATAAACAAATAAGGAAATAATGACCTTAAAATAATAACGTCATGATTTGTTTTTTTTTTTCCTCTGAGCATTCTAACCCGCCCACCTGGATGAAGGGCCAGCAGGTTTGCTGCGGAGCCAAACTGGGAGCAGTGGCTGATGCACCAGAGCGTCGTGCTGCCATTCAAAGGGGCCTCCACAGGCTGTAGAGATGGGCACAGGGGAATTCAAGAAGTCCAATGAGGCAAGTGGAGGTTCCTGCATAAAGAAAAGAATAACTCCGTGCTGCCCCTAGGGCAAGTACCTTGCCCTTCTTTTTCCTGCAGCCTGTGTGTAAAGCTGATGGTGGTGTGTGCCCATTCACTCTCTCAGCTTTAAAACTTTTCAAGGGATGTGTTGGAGGAAGGAATAGAACAAAGTATGCAGTATTTGTCATTTTTTGTAMAC